ACCTTGCTTTGGCATGGTTGACGTACTTATCAGGCCCAGGGCCGACTGTATGCCTTCCTGCCCAAGCCAAGGTAGCTCTCACAGACAAACACACACACACACACACGCACGCACGCACGCACGCACGCACGTACACATACACATGCACATACACATACACATGCACATGCACATGCACATGCACATGCACATACACATACACATACACAGACACACCTACACAAGCACATACACATACACATACACATACACATACACATACACATACACATATACATATACATACGCATACACACACATAAACATACACATACACATACACATACACATACACATACACATACACATATACATATACATATACATATACAATCACACACATACACATACACATACATATACATATACACATACACATGCACATACAATAACCAAACACAAACAAAAACACCACAAACACAACACACACACACATACACACACGCCCAAGCCCAAGCCCACGTCCACGCACACGCCCACGTCCACGCCCACGCCCACACGCATACGCACACGCCCATGCCCTCGCGCACACGCAGACGCACACGCACACGCAGACCCACACGCACACGCACACGCACATACACAAACACACACACACACACACACGCACGCAAACACATGCAGGAGGAGGACGAGCCGGGTTTGCGGGCCGAGCTGGCACGCCTGGCGCGGAGCGCGGGCGCCGCCCGCGGGCGCTTGGCGCTGCTGCGGGAGAGGAGGGGCCAGCTAGACGAGGATCGACCGAAAATCAAACGACACCACCCCGCGTACGGTAGGTTCGCGTCGTGTCGACCAGCGGCGACCCCAGCGCGGACGTTCAAGGTTGAACGCCGCCGGCGACCCAGAATCGATCGATGTTGAACGATCAGACGTTGCGGCAGCGGCCGATCGTTCAAGGTTGAACGATCCCTGCGGTGTCAAAAACCAACGCTGGGGTCGGCACTACACGAACCTGCCGTACGACCCTCCATGTTGCGCCACGGCCCATCGCGGGCCACAGCGTATACCACGCCAAAGCCCACGCCGGATCTCCGGGCATGCGCCACGCGAGGCCCCGTGGCGCCGCAGGTGGGGTGGTGTCGTTTGTTTTCTGGTCCAGAGGAGCTCGCATCTGCGCGCGAGTCCTTCGCAGAGCACTCCGCGGCCGCGGCCGCCGCGCGCGGCAGCACGGCCGCGCTGGCCCAGGAGCTCAGCCGCGCTCCCGGCGGCGGCGGCGGCGCAGGTCTGCGGGCCCGGCTCTGCGAGCTCGGGCGCGTCGACGAGCAGCTGCTGGAGCTGCTGAGGCGCAGCGCGGCAGAGGAGCGCCAGTGGGCGGAGGAGGGCCGTGCGCTGACCGCCGAGTGCGCCGAGGCTGCCGCCTCCAACGCGGCGGCCGCCGAGGCGTCGGCCGAGGCCGCCGCGCTGGCAGGCCGGGCTCATCGGCAGGCGGCCGAGCTGGACGAGCTCCGCGCCGAGCGCGGCGCCCTGCTCGAGCGGCACGTCAGCATGGCTGCGGCGGATGCTGAGAGCGCTGGCCTCGAGGCCGCCTCTGAGAGGCTCGCGGCGCTGATCGGGGGGGGGCGCGAGGCTGGCCTGCGCCTGCAGGAGGAGGCGGACGCCGAGCGCGAGGCCCGCGCGCGGCTAGCGCAGCGGCGGCGGCGGGAGGGCCCCGTGCCGCGGGAACCCCGCAAGGACGGGCGGCGGTGGGAGGAGCGCTTGCGGGTGCTGGAGGAGGCGGAGGGCCGCCTGGCCGCCGCGGTGGCCCACGAGGTCGTGGCGGAGGCCGAGGCGGGCGGCGGCAACGGCGCGCCCGCGGCCCCCCCAGGCGGCCACCGGCGGCGGGAGGCCGACTTCTGCTCCGCAGAAGCGGCGCGCCTGCTCGGCTCGGCGGCATCTCGCCTGGGCGGCCCAGGCTCCGCGTGCGCCGGCAGTGGCCTGGCCTTGCTGGCGGCCGCCACGCTGACCTCGGCGAGGCTGCTCCGCGAGGAGCTGCAGTGCTTGCTCTGTGGCGAGGCTGAGGGCGGTTGCGGGCCCGGGGTGAGCGAGCCCAGCGTGTGCGAGCTCGCAAGGGCCCTGCGGCGCGCGGCCACAGCATCGCCGATCTTGCCTGGCGGCGGCGCGGAGGAGCGCCCAGGCGGCGCGGAGGAGCGCGTGCCTGACGGCGGCGGCGGCATGCCGCTGTCTCGTGACGCTGCGCTCGTGCCGGCGCCTTTGGAGGCGAACATGGCGCCAGCGCTCGATGCGCTCTCCGAGGGGAGCATTGGGCCAGAGCCCCAAGAAGCCGCAGCACTGGGCGCCCCCACTCAGTTGCCCAGCGCGCTCGCGGGCGAGGGCTCGCCCGACCCAAGTCGGGGCTGGGCGCCGCCACTCACTGCGGCACCTGAAAAGCCGCCGCCTTCTGGCGTGGCTCCAGCGCCGACGGGCGCACCTCATGCCGTCGGTGCGGGGCCAGCGCCCTTCGAGCCCGCAGCCTGTAGCGCCGCCGCCGAGTCGCCATGCTCGCTCGCGGGCAAGAATGCGCCTGCCCCTTGCAGTGGTGGGCACCTTGCGCCGCCGTCCGCCGCCGCGGCCGCGCCTGCGACTCCTTCGCCCGTGCAGGTTCCGAGCCGCATCGCGGCAGCCCCCGCATCCGCAGCCTTGCCCGCCCCGCCGCCCCCAGCCGCCCGCGCGCCCAATTTGTCCGAGCCCGCTGCGCTGGCAGACTGCAGACCGCGGTCGCCCGCCAGCACCGCCAGTGCCGTCGCTGGCGCTGCCACGGAGCCGCGCTGGGCGCCAGCCGCCGCCGCGGAGGCGCTAGCCTGCGCAGCGAGGCTGAGCGGCGGAGCGCCCGCGCCCGACGGCCCTGCCAGCGCGGCGTCGGTCCGCAGCGCCGCGGCGCCTGCCCCGGCCCCACCGCCGGCCCCCGCGGGCGAGGTCACGGGGGAGGCCCGCGAGCGGCCCCCGCAGGCGAGGGCGTGGGCGGTCCCCCAGTGGGGACCCCCCCGCTTCACCGCGGCCTGCCAACCCGATGGCGCGGCCCGCGCGCGGGCTGTGCCTGCCGCAACCGACGCCGAGCCTACCCCCGCCGTCGCCGCGGCCGAGCGGGCGGCGCAGTCGGCGACCGCCGCTGCTGCTGGCGCCGAGCTTTCTCCCGCCGCCGCCGCGGAGCGGGCCCCGCAGTCAGCGACCGCCGTCGCCACACCCTTCGCCCGCGGCGCGGCGTACCCTCGGAGCCTCGAGGGCTCGCCGCCGAGGCCTGGCGGGCGCGTCCCCGAGCCCAGCGCTGGCGCCGCGCCCGCGCTCGGCGCCGGGCCGCCCCAGGCTCCGGAGCTGCTCTGGGCGGCGCCGCTGGACGCCGGGCCGCCGAGGCCGTGCCGGCACCAGCAGCAGGCGCAGCCCGTGCCAGCGCTGGCGCAGCAACCGCTGGCGTCGCCGAGCCCGCAGCCCCGCTCCCCCCGGCGCGCCAGCGCGCGCCTCGGGCCGGGCGCGCGCGCGGCCTCGCCGCCGCCGTCTCCGGGCGAGTGCCTGAGGCGCGCCCGGTGCCACCTCGCCGCTCTGCGGCAGGGGCTGGCGAGCCGCTGAGGCCGCGGCCTGGCGCCGGGGGTGCGCGCCCTGGGGGGGGGGCCTCCAGGCCTCCCAGAGGGGGTCGGAGGTGCAGACGTCGGAGGGTCGCGCCGCGCCGCATCGTGCATCGCCGACGCATCGCCGATGCGGATCGATCTACGGAGCCTGGCGCTCTTCACCACAGCGGCGCCGATGCACCTCGCCGGCGTCGTCGCCGACGTCCTCGCCGCTGCCTCGGCGATGCAGCGGCGACAGCCAGGGCGCGGTGCTCCGACCACAGCTCCTCCGGCCCGGTTTTGAGGCCCCCGGCCAGGCACGTGCTCGCGAGGCCGCCTCGCGCTGTAGCCTCGGGCCGGGGGAAAGGGGGGGATTGGGAAAGGGGGGGGGTACGAAATCTGCTGCGTGCAGCTGGTTTCGGCCTCACCGAGGGGCCCATTCCTCGATACATAGCCGCCTCCGGCGCCGGGAGGCGCCGGGAAAATCAGCTACTCGAGCTGATTCTCAAACCCCCCATTTGCTATCCCCCCCTTTCGCCCGACCCGATAGCCTCAGGCTTGGCTGGCCCACCTGAGGGGCCGAGTGGGCCCTGGAAACGACAGGGCTGTTGCTTTTGCTGGTTCCGCTTCGCCGTGTTCCTGCTGGTTCCGTCGCCGTGTCGTTGGCGGTTGCGCCACCGTCTTTGTTTCCGGTTCCGGTTCTGATTCCAAGCCCAGAGCCTTTTTTGTGTCTGCCGTGTTTGGTCGCCGTTTTTGTTGACCGCTTCCATTTTGAAGGAACACGTTTTTGAAAACGGTGAGAAAAATTACCCTGCCGTTTCCGGGGCCCACCAAGATCGATGGGGGGTAGGTGGAGTGTGAAGGAGAGCCGCGTGCAAGAAGCCCGCTGGCTCCCGCCGCGTCGCAGGGCCTGGGAGCGGCAGGCGCGCACTCTGGGCATCCGTGCGCGCGTGCCCGGCCACCAAAAGCAAAAGTATGATGTTCCGGGCGATCCTTTCCAGTGAGGTTTATATAGTCTATTGCATCCAGATGTGTGTTTGCAGTGGGGGGCTTCTTGGGACCTCTTGGGGGCCTCTTGGGGGCCTCTTGAGGATCCCTTGGGGGTCTCTCGGAGCCTCTTGGGCGCCTCTTGGGGCCTCCTGGGGCAGAAGGCTCGGATCTTCGGTTCATGTTCCCCGTCTTGGGCCCCTTGGGCATTGGGGGGGCCGTCCTGGGGCTTTCTTGGGCCGTCATGGGAGCCTCTTGGGCAGTCTTGGGACGCTCTTGGGCAGTCTTGGGGCCCTTTGGGAGGCCTCTTGGGGCGTCTTGGGGTGGTCTTGGGGATCTCCTAGGCCGTCTTGGAGCGTCGAAAAGCGGAAAATGCGAACACGCCAAAATCCCTCTGTCCTGGTGCGGCGAAGCCTACGTGCGCTCGTTCAGTACTGGCTTCGATCATCTCTTCTTATGGCTCGCTGGAGTCCTCGCCTGCGTCGCGACACTCACATCTGCTTCGACGGCTGGCTCGATGCACCGAAGACGACCGAGAATACCAGCCTGCACTGGGGGCTCCCTGTTGGGGTCTACCACAGCGAGCACCACCACCACTGCTGCCACCACCGGATTCTGAGCCGTGAGGCATGAGAGCGATAATATATATATATATATATATATATTTCGCGCAGCTTGGTGAGGATGGGCAGGAGGGTGTGCCAGGCCCGGGTCTGCTGCTTTTCTGCGTGCCTTGCGCAGTCCCCGAGGCCCGACGTCGCGAACCAGGTGCAGCATCGCAGGAACTCACGACAGGCGCCCCAGACCCAGTCGCCCTCCAGCCTTTCTCGGGGTCGACCCGTGCGGGCCCCAGGGCTCGCAACGGGGCGAGAACGCCTGGTGCGACAGCAATGCGAGACGCGGGGACCTCATGGGGCCGTTGAGCTCGCGAGTTGCCGTGGTGTTCGGCCTCCTCGGAGTTGCTTCCTCCTCCTCCTCCTCCTCCTCCTCCTCCTCCTCCTCCTCCTCCTCCTCCCCCTCCTCCTCTTGCTCCTCGACAATCCCCCTCCTCCTCCTCCTTCTCCTCCTCCTCCTCCGAGCTGCACCTGGCTGCACCTGGGCTCGCACGCCCTGGCGGTGCGTCTCTGCCAGAGAGCTGCCACGCTCGCTCGCGTGCCCCCACGCCTGGGCCGGTCGGGGGCCAGCCAGGGAGGAGCGCGGAGCAGGGGCGGAGCAGGACTGTTTCGGAGGAGGGCGGAATGGTTATTAGCAAGGGATGACAGGAGACTGGAGGGGGGGGAGAAAGGGTAAGAGGAGGAGAAGATGGACAAGGAGGGAGAAGAGGAGGAGAGGGATATGGATCATTAGAGTGAGATGAGGGAGGACGAGTAGGAGGAGGAGGAGGAGGAGGAGGAGGAGGAGGAGGAGGAGGAGGAGGAGGATGAGGAGGAGGAGGAGGAGGAGGAGGAAGAGGAGGCATCGCCGTCCTCATGATCGTTTTGTTCCTCAGTCTCCTGGAAGCAGGAGCGAGCAACATTTGGAATTGCCTCTGTGTGGGGGCGCAGGCAGTGTCTACTTCAGCATCGACGACTTCGGCAAGAAGGGCTTCGACTACCGCAAGCTGGTGCCAGCGGCCAACACCAGGAACGCATGCGCTGTTTGCCCAGCCTCGAGAATCCGCACGCACACGCCTCCCATTGAACGTGATCGCTGTTCGTGCGGGCACCGGCCGAAGCATCCGCCGATCTCGACCATCGTGGGGATGCGGTGGTCTTTGTCTTTGGGGAGACCGCCGATTTCGGCAAGGTCTGGGGCCCCCGCAGGCGCCCAGTGCTGACAGCTTCTGGTGCTGCTTCTGCGACTACCGCCGAGGTCGAAGCTACATTCCCGCGCGACCGTGCTTTGCTGAGACTGCACGTGCGCGCAGGAATGTTCACGGGGAGGCCAGATTCCGAGGTGACCCCCGCGCTTCCTCCCTGCACTGCACCCGTCCTTCCTCTCTGCCGCCAATGTCCGAGGCCGAAGACAAGCATAGGGCCGAGCGGGTCCCACTGTGAACGGGGGAGCGTGGGAGGGAGGAGCAAGCGGATGACAGGAAGAAGGAGGGCGGGAGTGAGAAGAAGGAGGAGGAGGCCGAGGAAGGCGATGGAAGTGGAGAAGGAGGACGGCGAGGAAGGGAAACGGCTGGAGGAGGGGGGGGGGCTACCAGGAAGACGTGGGAGGGCCCAGGCTGGCGCGCCGGCTGGCTGGCGGCGGCTGCTGCGGGAGGGGCCCGGGGGGCGGCGGCGGGCGTGACGGCCTCGAGCACTGGGCCGTGCAGGCGGCGGGCTGCCAGTTCCTTTCGGGCCCCCGTGGCGCTCCCGGGCAAGCGCAGGCCGGAGGCCCCCAAGGCGGCGCACGCCCTCGCGCTGGGAGAGTGGCCGCCTTTTTTGCGCGTCGCCTCCCCGGGGGGGGGAGCCGCCCCGCTCGAGGGGCGGTGTATTGGAGTGCGCGGGCTGCCGAGCACAGAGCCCCCGCGGCAAAGGTTCCCGCGGCGCTCGGAGGGAAAGGAAGGGGAGGCGCAGCCGCAGCACGCGGATGAGAAAGGATGGAGAGGTGGGCAAGGCGGATGAGGAGGGGGTCAAGGCTGAGGATGCCGTGGAAACGTTCGGGGGAGGAGGAGGAGTATTGGAATGCGGCCACGTGCGAGGATGAAAGTTGGAACGAGAGAGAGGAGGGAGGCGGAGGAGGGAGGAGGACGGCGCAGCAGGGTTCCCTGGGAGCGCGCCCGCCCGCCCCGCCAGCCAGTGGGCGGAGGAGAGGGGGGAGGAGGGAGGATGCTCAGAGGAGGAAAAGGTACCCATACCTCTACACTTCGCCCGTCCTCCCCTTTTTGGGCATCCTGGGAGGCCCTCGTCGCCACCGCTGGATTCGCCTCCAAATCCTGGTCAGAACGCGCCCCGGGAGAGGTCCGGGGAGCAGCGGTATCGGTACCTCTTGGTTTCCCCGGATGCGGAGCATGGATGGTGGAGGGCAGGGACAAACGACACGCGGCACACGCGGCTCCGGCGCCCCAGCGCGGCAGAGATGGAGGAGGGCGAGGGCGCGCTCGCCGCGGAGAGCTCCGAGAAGCGCAACCCCAACGACTTCGCCCTGTGGAAGGCCCTGCGCGAACGACGACGGCGACGAAGACGACCGCAACGGTTCGCCATGGAGGAAGCGGGTCCTGGGGGACACGCGTCCTGATGTTTGTCGCACGTTGTTGATTCTTGGGATCCTCCATGGTCCCGGGGAGCGTCAGAAAATCGCTCAGGATGAGGATCTCGTCCTGGGGCAAGGTCCTGTGGTCCAGGATTCCCTCAGGACCCGTTGCCCCCATGCTGAATGGTAAGGTTTCGGATTGCGCGCAGACAGCTGGGTAGCACCAGCTGGCCTCAACAGGCCCCCCGAGCCTCCGAGCGGTCTGGAGCGGTCTCGGCACCAATGCGGCGCTTCCGGCGGCGTCCATGGAGCGCTCCGCGCCCCAGGGTGTGTGGGGGGGGTGACACAGCCCAGGGCCACGCGGGGGGCCTGTTGAGGCCAGCTGGGACCTTTGTGGGCCCTGTTTCCAGTTCTGTTTTGCCGTTTTTGTTGCAGGTGCCGACGCCGTTTTTTAGCCACCGGTTCCGTCGCCGTTGTTGTACCGGTTCAATATTGGAGCCGTTTTTTTGCAGTTTATTGTCGCCGTTGTTTTCCCGCTTCCATTTTCAAGAGACACTGTTTCGGGCACGGTTAAATAACGGCCCTGCCGTCTCTGGGGTGCACCACGGCTGGGACTACCGGGGGGGATTGATTTCAGCGCCGCAAATCATCGTGACAGTTGCGTCGGGACAACGAGAGTCGTGCCAGAACGCAGATGCTGGGACTTCAGCATATCGAACCAATGTCACAGTTGCGTCCTGACAAGACCGTGCCTGAACAGCACGCCTGGGACTTCACTCCTGCGAATATTTCAAGCTGCTTCAACTTTTTGCAAGTCGAACGCGATGTCTGAAAAGGATCCACCCGCCATTCTTAAAAGTTGCGAAAACTGTTAAAACGAATGCGCGCGGCGATACAGCGAGAGCCACATTTCGAAAAGGGCCTGTCCTCCATCCTTAAGTATGTTGCAAACGTAGGCGAATGTGCGTGGCGCTGGAGCGAGAGCCACAGTTTGAAAACGACCCGTCCTTCATCCTTGAAGCTGGTGCAAATTTCTACGTCGAATGCGCGCAGCGCTAAGGGCGAGTCGCAATTTGAAAACCATCAGCCTTCATTTCTGGAGTTGTTGTACATGTCAAGCTTCAGGATCAGAAATAGTAAGGAAGCCAGGCGAAACGCCCAGCTCGCCCTACCGACACGTTTCGGTGTGCGACAGGGGGGCGGCATCCATGAGGAAAAGGAGTTGAGAAAGATGGGTATTCGAAGGAGGGAATTTAGAAGAGGATGAGGAACAGGACGTGGAGGAGGATAATGAGAGGGAAAAGGGGGGCAGCTATGCTTCGTGGCTGCAGAAGGCTCGAAGTGTGTTTCAGGGGCGTCCTCGGGACTCAGTCCCCCCGCCTCCCCACCCCTCTCCACGTCCCACCCCTCTCCCTGTCCTACCGCTGACCCCGCCCCTCCCGTCCCAGAAGGACAACATGCCGAGCGCAAAAGCTTGTGGTGGCACGGGCTGCTCCGCAACACCTGTGCCCTGCTCCTCCCGAGTCCCCCCCCCCCCCGCCTGGCCATCTCCGGGCACCCTCGTCCACCTCTCCACCTTCCCCCCGCCCCCAGCCCCCCTGGCCCGTCCCAGGGGAAGGGCAGGAGGAAGAGGACGAGGAAGGGAGGAAGGAAGGGGGGGGGGAGGAGAAGGGAGGGAGGGGTTGGAGGAGGAGGAGGAGGAGGAGGAGGAGGAGGAGGAGGAGGAGGGGAGGGAGGTGTTGAATAAGGAGGAGGAGGATGAGAGGAAAAGTCGTTCGCCCGCTCGTCTGCCCTGCCTGTTTCCCTCCGCCGCCGCCTCCTGAAGGGCTGACACGGCGCGACTTGCCACGCCCCATCCGCTAGGGCCAACACCGACTTTTGGGGGGAGGCCTCAAAAACGTTTTCTCATGGGCGTACTGGCCCAGCCGCCATCGATCGAAACGGCGTTCTGGCCCGTCTGGGGGTCGAGAAAGAGAGAGAGAGAGAGATAGATAGGGGGAGGGGTAACATAGTAATATCTTTGCCGGCGTGCACCCCAAAACATGTTTTCTTCCAACGTATGTTGTGCAATCTAGGAGGTACAATCCATGTGGTAGCCTCTATGCGACGAAAAGCCATGTAATGCAACGCAAAGCAAAGCAACACGAAGCAACGCAAAGCAGAGCACCGCAATGAAACGCAACGCCAATCAACGCAATGCAAGGCAGCGCAATGCAAAGGAATGCACAGCAATGTACCGCAATGTAAAGCTACGTCATGCGAGGCAAAACAATGAAACGCAATGCCAACTATTGAAAAGCAATGCAACGCAATGCTCTGCAATGCAACGCAAAGCGAAGCCATGCAAATCAACGGAACGCAATGCAACGCAATGCACAGCATGTTAAAGGCATGCAAAGTAATGAAATGCAGTGCACAATAATGCAACGGCATGCAATGCACAGCAATGCAATGCAACGCAATGCGATTGCAATGCAAAGCAATGGAACACAATGCTAAACAGTGCCAAGCAGTGCAAAGCCGTTCAAAACAATGCCAAGCGATTAATAAGTAATTGCAAGGGAATGACAGAACAACGCACAGCAATGCAAAACAACGCAACGCAAAGCAGTGTCATGCCATGCGGTTGCAATGGAAAGCAATGCAAAGCAAAGCAACGGGCGGCGACTTGCAGCGACGTGTGGCTCTGGGGCTCAGCGGCGACGGCGGCGACGAGCGGCGGCGAGCTGGCCAGTCCGGCACCAGAGGCTAGTTACCCTAGAAGCCAAGTGAGAACCCCTAAGTGCAAGCATTTCTTGGGGAAGTAGACGAAGTATACCAAACATAAGAAGATGATTCGAACGATGAGGAAGAGAGAAGGAAAGAGAGAGAGAGAGAGAGAGAGACACACACACAATGAGTGACAAACAACAAATGCCCCAGCAGATCACCGTAATAGCAGCAAAGATGAAGAGGCGGGTCAAGGAGTAGGAGGTCGGCTATAGGGGACTGGGGTCAGTGCACGGCCACGTGCACATCCGTGCATTTTTTTTACAGTGGATCGTGGCCGTCAGGACCAACAATGCAGCGGGCATTGAGACGAGAATACTGCTCCTGAACACGTTGTGCGGACATCTCAGGCGTAACGGCTGCCGCACCAGGCGGTCTCGGGCTCTCCGTTTCCCCGTGGGATTCTTCTGCGGTCCGTTTTTTTCTCGTAGTAGAAGTCTCGAGCAACATGCTCTTCGGGACAGACAAACAATGATATGCGAGAGAGCGATAGAAAAAGAGAAGATATAGAAGAGAGAGAGAGAGAAAAGCAAACATCAATCGAGCAATAACTGACGCCGTCCCTTGTGTTCACGTCACAGGGGCTCTGTATTGGAGCGGTGGTCATGGCCAACACGGGGTCACGGCCCCGTGGAGTCACAGGGCCAACACGGGATCACACCAGCTCCGGTGGGATCCCGAGGGCTCCCCCCGAAGCTCCCGAGAGAGGTCACACAATGAGGGGAGGAGTGAGGCGTGGGGAGTGAGGCGTGAGGAGGAAGAGGAGGAGGAGGAGGAGGAGGAAGCGGAGGCGGAAGGGGATGCCCGCCAACACGGATGCGCGACCACGGCAAATTGGCGACGCCACCACACGGAAGCGGCCCGTTGTGATCTTGGACTCTCCCCCCCCTCTCGCTGCCCCGCGCCCCCCCCCCCCCCCCGCCCCCCTCCCGCGGCCAGGCCTCGAAGCCTGGGGAGCCCGCCTGGGAGAGCAGGTGGGGCGGCGGCCGGCCCGGCTGGCACATCGAGTGCTCCGTGATGGCGACGGACATCCAGGAGACCCGCTGGGGGGGGCCGGGGAGATCCCGGCGGCCCAATCTGTTCGAGCCGGGCGTGGTCGCCTTTTTGTTCGGGCCCCGCGATCTGCACAGGTCGATCCGGCGCGAGAAGCGACGCAGGAAGGTGGGATCTGGGGCCCCAGTCTTGGTTTTCAGCGATGTTTCGATTTTTGTTCGAGACGTCAGATTTCAGGGGGGCCTCCTGGCTCTGCGGCCTCCTCGCTGGCTGGCTCTGCCTTTTGCGGCTTCCTCCTCCCTCTTCCTCCCCCACTCCTCCCCTCCCCTTCTTCCTTCTCCTCGCGCCGCTTTCTCTCCTCCCCTCCCTCTGTCCCTCCCATTCCTTCTTTTCTCCCCCCTCTCTCTTTCCCCCCTCCCTCCCCTCGCGTGCCAGGCACGTGCACAACTGCACGGCTGGCACGCGTAGCCGCCTCAAGTGCCCGAGAGATTGCATCGGTGCAGTCCGACCAGGGCCCCGGACTTTGGCTCGGCATTGTCACCAGTGAAGTCGGAGGGGGTTCCAGTGTGGGACGTTTTCAGCACACACGCACACACGAAGAGGGGGGGATTCCCCGGCTTTGGTCAGCCGCGAGGGCGGTCGCCAACGCGTTCGGGACGCCGCAGGGCCGCGCCGGGGCAGAGGCACACCCAGAACATTGGGGCAGGAGGAGGGTGCGGGCAGGAGTTGTGCCCGTATTCGCTGCAGATTTGGGCTTCCAGCTCGCTTCCCCAGGAGCCCGAGGCGCACTGGATATGGATACAAGCCCGGCCCCAAGGGGCTCGACTGTTATCCATGTCCAGTGCGCCTCGGCCTCGTGGCGCCCCTGAAGAAAGTCCAAGAGGCACTGGCTATGGATATAAATCTTGCCCGAGGAGGGCGGCCGCTAAGGAGGAACGCGGGGAGGGGCCTCAGGCGTAGAGAGCCTTCGGCACGAGGAGTGCGCAGGCGGGCTTAGGCACCGCAGGTGGGCAGCCAGTCAGAGCAGCCGAAGGGAAGGCAGCGCGGGGGCCACCCAGGCGTCCGGCGATGTTGTTGTTGGTGCTGCTGTTGTTGGTGGTGGTGTTGAACTCCAATTTCTGAAGAATAATGATTGTTGATCCCCCCCACCGGTGCACATTGTATTTTTCAATTGAAGTGCCTTTCCCGGAGCTCGCACCTTGTTTTCATCAGAAAAAGTCTTGAGGCTCAAACTGGGCCCCTGGCCCCCGGGTTACAACAACAACCTCTCCCGCTTGAGACTTCCTCACGATTTACCCCGGACCCCCGCTCCCGCCTGAGACTGCCTCGCATTTTATTCAGGAATCGCGCTCTCGCTTGGGACATCCTTACAATTTATGCAGGAATCGCTTTCTCGGCGCTCTGGAGTCGCGCTCTCGCTGGATACTTGCTTGCACTTTACGCAGGAATAGCGCCCTTGCGGTTGAATTTCCCGCAATGTATTCAACCGCCGCGCCCCCGACATTCAGGCACCCAGGAGTCGCGCTCACGCTTAGGACTCCCTCACAGATGATTTCGGAATCGGGATCTCCCTGCCCTTCGTGGCCCCGTAGCAGCCCTTCGTGGCCCCCTCGCTGCCCTTCGTGGACCCGTTGCAGCCCCTCGTGGCCCCCCCGCTGCCCTTCGTGGCCCCGTTGCAGCCCTTCGTGGCCCCCTCGCTGCCCTTCGTGGCCCCGTTGCAGCCCTTCGTGGCCCCCTCGCTGCCCTTCGTGGCCTCGTTGCAGCCGTTCGTGTCTCCCTCGCTGCCCTTTGTGGCCCCGTAGCAGCCCGTCGTGGCACCCTCGCTGCCCGTCGTGGCACCCTCGCTGCCCTTCGTAGCCCCGTTGCACCCCTTCGTGGCCCCCTCGCTGCCCTTCGTGGCCCCGTTGCTGCCCTTCGTGGCTCCCTCGCTGCCCTTCATGGCCCCGTTGCAGCCCTTCGTGGCCCCCTCGCTGCCCTTCGTGGCCCCGTTGCAGCCCTTCGTGGCCCCCTCGCTGCCATCCGTGGCCCCATATATGTATGCCCTTCGTGGGCCCCGTTCGTTCGCGTCCGTCGTGGCCCCATATGCATGCCCTTCGTGGCCCCGCTGTCGCCCTTTGTGGCCCCCTCGCTGCCCTTCGTGGCCCCGTTGCTGCCCTCAGTGGCCCCGTCTTTGCCTTCTGCGGCCCAATATAGGTATGCCCTTCGTGGCCCCCGCCCGTTCGCGCCCGTCGTGGCCCCATGTGCATGCCTTTCGTGGCCCCGCTGTCGCCCTTCGTGGTCCCCTCGGTGTCCTACGTGGCCCAGTTGCTACCCTCAGTTGCCCCGTCGTTGCCTTCTTTGGCCCCGCATTATCTGCCCTTCGTGGCCCCCGCTCGTTCGTGCTCTTCATGGCCCCATACGCATTCCCTTCGTGTCCCCGCTGTCGCCCTTCGTGGCCTTTTTTGTGCCCTTCGTGGCCCTGCTGTCGTTCTCTCTCTCGCTTTCGGTTTCGCTCGTCGTCGTCTTCGTCGCCGTCGTCGCTGTCGTCGTCGTCGTCGTCGTCGACGACGTCGTCGTCGTCGTCGTCGTCGTCGTCGTCGTCGTCGTCGTCGTCGTCGTCATGGTCGGTCCCCTGTCCGTCCCTCTTGGGGTCAGGTTGCCGCTTGTCAGCGCTGCCGCGGCCGCCCCGCCGCTTGCCAGGGCCCGGCTTGCAGGGAAGAAAGGTATACCCCCCAAAAGGGGCACGATCGAAGACGAAGAAGGCGGGTATCGAGGGTTAGGGAAATACGCCTTAACGGACACTCGGGCAGATAAGAGCGAAGAGTCTTAAAACGATTGTTGTTGTTGCTGTTGTTGTAGAACTTTCATTTCTGAGTAATTATTGATGATCCCCCTCACCAGTGCATCTTGTTTTTTCTCAACCAAAGTGTGCCCCTCGACGCTCGCACCCTGTCCTCTGACAGGGAAAGTCTTGGTGCTCAAACTGTGCCCCTGGCCCCCGGATTACAACAACAACAACGGCTCCCGCCTGAGACTTCCTCCAAATATACTCAGGACCACCGCTCCTGAGACTTCCTCACAATTTACTCAGGATCGGTGCTCCCGCCTGTGACTTCCTCGCAATTTTGTCAGGACCCCCGCTCCCACCTGAGACTTCCTCACAATTTACTCAGGAACGGCGCTCCCGCCTGAGAGTTCCTCGCAATTTAATCAAGACTTCCTCGCAATTGAATCAAGACCCCCGCTCCCGCCAGAGAACCCTTCACATTGTATTCAGGAATTGCGCTTTCGCTTGTGACCCCCATGCAATTTATCCAGAAAGCGCATTCTCGACGCTCAGGAAGCACGCTGCGCCAAGGACGCCACTACAAATAACTTAGTAATCGCGCTCTCGCCATACTCAGGCATCCCGCTTGAATGTCCCACCCGCCCGACCCGCCCGTCAGGGGATCGCCTGCCCGTCGTGGGCTCCCGCCCGAGACTTCCTTCAGGAACGGCGCTTTCGCCTAGGACTTCCCCGAACATTCCTTACCTTCCTGCTCCTCCTCCCTCCTCCCTCCTCCCTTCTCTCCTCCCTTCTCTCTCCCTCCTCTCTTCCCTCTTCCTTATGCCTCTCTGCCCTATCCCCTTTCCCTCCTCTCCCTCATCCCTCCTCCCTCCCCCTCTCCTGCCTCCTCCCTCCCTCTTTCTTTCTCTTTCTCTCCCCTCTCTCTCTCTCTCTCCCTCTCTCTCTCTCTCTTTCTCTACCTCTCTGATCTGTATTTCTCTCTCTCTCTCTCTCTCTGCCTCTAATCAACCGCCCCCCTCTTCGCTCCTTCTCTCCTGGCGTTTTTCCCCTTCCTTCGTCCCGCCCCCTCCCTTCCTCCCACTCAACCTCGTTCGCCCACTCCTCTTTTTGCAGGGCCCACGCCAATCCCAATGGCGGGCACATCTACGCCCACGAAGGATTGTCCGCCCGTTCAGGTTTGCCCGCCTGTCTAAGCCCGCCGCCCCCCGCAAAGAGAAAAAAATCCCCCAAGAGGGTGTGATCTTAGAAAAATGGCGGGTATCGAGGGTGTGGGGATCTCGTTTTGAATGAACGCAGGCAAGTAAGAGCGAACAGTCTTAGAATAATTGGTGTTGGTGGTGGTGTTGTTGCTGTTGTGTCAGTCCGCGCCCCCGGAGCTCCCGACCTCATCCCCATGGGGCAGTTTTGCGTCCCAGATCCATTTGTCCTAACAGAATGTCAGAGTTTCGCTGGAGGATTCCTAGTGGGGTTGGAAGACGATGGGTGGAGGGCGGTGCCTTATTCAGAGGGGGATGTCCTTTGGGGCTTCCCAGAAGTCCATCGCCAAAGGGCGTGAATGTGCGCCGAAGTCACACACATGGGGGGCGGTCCTTCTTCAAAACGGGAAATTCGCTCGATACGTCGATAAACTGCAGGATCCCGTGTGTTCCGCCTTCCTGACTGATTGTTGGAAGGCTGCCAGGCGAATCTTTCTCAGAGCGAAGCGCTCGCCTGAATGGCAAGCGCAGGGTGTTCGGGTTTCAAGGGGGCGCTTCTCGTGGCGAAACGGAGGGCCTGCGGGGTCTCGTGAGGAGGGGGTTCGGGACGGGCGGGCGTATTGCAGCTTGGCCTCCCCTCCCTCTGTATTTCCCTCCTCTCCTCCTCCTCCTCCTCCCCCTCCTCCTCCTCCTCCTCCTCCTCCTCCTCCTCCGCCTCCTCCCTCTAGCTCCCTCCTCTCCCACTCTAGCCCCCTCATCCTTCTACTCCTTGTCGCGTGCAGGTCAGCGCCTCGTTCCAGGAGTGGGAGCAACATGATTTGGTATGCTGTCGGTGCTCAGTGCGAGGGTCGAAGTTGTCCGTCCCCCAAATCCCTTACAGTCAACCCGCCTAGTAAGGATGGGCAGGCTTTCCAAGGGTATCCTCGCATCCTTGCCTCCTCGGGCCAGCCTTGGCCACCTTCGTTGCCCGCGCGCGCCGCTCGAGAAGCTTCGGAACGGCCTTCCAAAGCCCTTGCGTCCTCATCGCGCATCCTTACTATACGGGTTGACTGTACAGGGCCCCTGCTCGAGGTGGACCGCCGTGGATCCGATGGGTTCATCTCGCCTCGCCTTGCCCCCACCCAGCGCCACGCTTCGAGCAGGGGCACGGAAGCGGCAGCGAGAGCGAAGGAGGGAGGAGCCAGCGGCACGGAGGTGAGGAGGAGACGCAGACCACCTAGTAATTGAGACCCGACAGTTTGCCTAAGAAAAGGCCCCCGACGTCATGATTTTTTCATGCCGTCCAGCCCCAGAGGCCTCGACCCACTCCCCTGGACCGGCTCTTCATCCCGAGAGCGCTTTCTGACGGTCCTGGGACCCAGTAAGGTCGACTAGGCGTAAGCGTGGCTTTTCGCCAGAGTGACCTTTGGTGTGGGCCCAATGGGTTTCCTTGAGAACGTCGAACGCGAAGCGAGTCGGCAGCGGCTCGTGCCTCGGACCAGTCTTGCGTGTCGCCGATGAGGGGCCCCCATAGGCCGAAAGTAGTGAAGAACTGCCTGACGCGATTGTTTCAGGATTCGAATGGGTCTGGGGAGGGAAGAGGAGGAGGAGGAGGAGGAGGAGGAGGAGGAGGAGGAGGAGGAGGAGGAGGAGGAGGAAGAAGAGGAGGAGGGGCAGGATGAGGAGCTCGATGGGTTTCTGGAGAGGGAAGAAGAGGAGGAGCTTGGGCCGGGCCCTCCACGGTGTGCTCGGCTGCTCTGGCAGGGGGGCGCCGCCCTCGTCCCTGGGAGCGGAGTGGCGGCCCCGCCCCACTGCGGCGCACCCCTCGCACGCTTCGCGGGCTCGTAGTGGGCGCCACCTCGGAAGCCCCAGCGACACCCGCAGCGACGGTGCCCACAACCGCAGATGGTTGGGCCCTTCGCGCCAGGGTATTGTCGCAACGTCGGGTCTCGGAGTCCCCACCGCCACCTCCGCCGCCTCTCCCTCTCCTCCCCCTTCCACCCCTTCCGACGCCGCGAAAGGCATCGACATCGAGAAACATCGCGACCAGAGCCCGGGCCCCCATCTTCTCGCTGCAGTTCTGGAACGGGGTCGGTCTGTGATGGTCCTGGGTCCCGAATCCCGGCGAACACGCCAGTTGTGAAAGAAAAGCAACGCCCCAGGTCTGAAGGTGAGCTGGTCCTCGGGGCGAGAGGCCTTCAGCAAGGTGGCGCACGGTCTGCCGCAGTGCCGAGTCCTACACAGACCCCATCCACCCTCCTCGAGAATGACTCGATCCTTGATTATCGAGCCTCCTCGATCCGCCTCGATCCCCTCGAACCTCGATCCCGATCCTCGATCCCCGCCCGCGGCCACACCCTCTTCCCGGCGAGGGCGAGTTCTTGGACATCCACGCCGGGGGCGAGGACCTCAAGTTCCCGCACCACGACAACGAGATGGCCCAGTCCGAGGCTCCGCGGTGCCTCCGTGCGGGGCCCTTTGTGGGGGAGTGGCAAGAAGGATCAGAGGAGGAACCGGCACCGGTACCGCTGGACTTGCCTCGTTTTCGCCTGTTTGGGTATCCTGGGATGCCTTTTGTCGTCGCTGCTGGATTCGCCTTGAACTTCTGGCCTCAAAGCGCCCTGGGGGGGAAGTGCGGGAAGTAGCGGTATCAGTATCCGTTGGTTTCCCCTGGGGGAGAGAGCGCCGAGTCACAGCGGGCCCGTGTTCCGTGAACGCTTCGATGCGCAGACGCAGGAGGGGGTTATGGCAGGAGGTGGTGAGCAGGAGGGGAGGAGGGGGAGGAGGGGGAGGAGGGGGAGGGGGAGGAGGAGGAGGGGAAGGAACAAGAGGAGGAGAAGGAGGAGGAGGAGGAGGAGGAGAAAGAGGAGGAGGAGGAGGGTGAGGGGAAGCAGCAGCGGCAGCAGAAAGAGGAGGAGGAGTATCTGGAGGAGAGGAGCAGGATGTGGAGGAGAACGGGGAGCGGAGCAGGCGGGGGTCCCCCGCCCCCTCCCCCCTGAAGAGGTGTGTATTCCTGGAGGAGGCTTGCAGAGCTACTGTCCTCCAAGCTTACGCCATTCCGCCGGACCCCAGAAGGGGCGAACGGGGCGGCGGGGCGAGGAGGAGGAGGATACGGAGAAGGCACATGGACCAGTATCGGCCAAACGTCTTATTGCCAGCTGGGCGCGTTGGGTGGTGCCTGAGACTTCTCGAAGTTGGGGTCGCTTGGGAGTCGTACTGGGTTTCTGCTCCGTTGGAGCCCGTTCGGGGCCTTCAGCTGCTTCTTGGCGCCATTCGGGAGCCTCGGGGATGGACGTGAGTCTCAAAACTGTCTTGGGGCATCGAGAGCTGGTCGTGGAGGAGCCTTCGGCCAGATTGCAGCCACCTGGCAGGCCAGCTAGGGGCCGTACTGGGGGCATCCTGGACCGTCCGAGGGTCTTTCCCTCTCGGAGGCTCCGGGAGCCCATCGTGGGCCCGCCCAGAGCCCAAAAGTGCGGGCGGCGCACCCATTGCACGGAGACCAGAAGGGAGGCAGACGACGTCTGTTTTTTGGGGGGGTGGGGGCCTCTCGCGGGTCATCTGGGCCAGACGAGGCAAGCGTAGCGATTTTGACGGTAATCAAGGAAAACAATTTGTCCGCTCTCAGCACAATCCCAGGCTTCATTACATTCGAGACGCATGGACAACTCTTGCTCAGACCCCGTCGTGGTCTGTCTTGGGCGGTCTGGGGATTGTCTGGAACCACCCTGAGCACCTGCAGGACCGGCGAGCAATCTCAAGAGGCTCTTTGAGGCCCTGCATGGCTTTGATGAGCTTCTCGCTTCTAGATGTACATCTATGTTCTAGTGCGTTCCTTGCTTTGTGTCCAGGTGTAGGTGAGTCTGAGCGTGAGTGAGTCAGAATGCGAGCGGCGGAGAATACGTGAGTCTGGGCGGGACTGAGCAAGAGTGTGAGCGGCTGGGTGCGAGTGACCTTGAGTTTGAGCGAATCCAGGTGTGAGTTGGCCCGAGTACGAATGAGCCTGGTTGTGAGTGAGTCTAGATATGAGGGGGCTGGGAGATGAGCAGCTCGGTCTGAGATCAGGTGTATTTGTCTCTGTCTGAGTTTGGCCACTGTATGCATTGTTTTGGATGTAAGTGGGCATGACTTCGTGAGTCTGCAAACTACCGCCTAGATGGGCTCGCACCAGCCTGCGTCATACCGCCTGGCGCTTCCCCCTTGGGAAGCCCTAGCGCCATGTCTGCAACATCGCGGTGGGCGTGGAGCTCTGGGGAGAGACACGCCCTTCAACAACAAGGCGCTTCGACTGAGAAGTGCCAGGGATCTGGGCACGAAGAGGCATTGGTCATACCCGTCGGCGGTTCCCTTTCTGGAATGCCCAAGTGTCATGCCTGCGATCTTACGGTGGTCCTGGGGTTCTGAGAATCACGCGTCTGCTTCCCATGATTGTCGTGGCTCCCGATATATCCCCACAATGTGGGCGCGAACCGTCCCGCATCAGGTCTCATGGCGGTTCCCCCATTTGTAGACTCGAGTAGCATGCCTGTTGCACCTCGGGCGTCATGGGTCTCTGAGAATTCACGCGTCTGCTTCCCACAATCGCCGCGTCGCCCGAGAGGTCCCCACAGTGTGGGCGCGAACGGACCCGCATCACATCTGCTGGCGGCTCCTCCCTTGGCAGACCCGAGCAGCACGCCTGCGACATCCAGGTGGCCGTGGGGCGTCGAGACGTCACACGTTTTTCTTCACACCAATTGGCGTTTCGCCCGAGCGGTCCCCACAGTCTGGGCGCCAACGGGCCCTGGTCAGACCACCTGGCGACTCCCCCCTTGGCTCACCCGAGTGTCACGCCTGCCACACGTCGTTGGCCAGGGCCTTCTGAGCGCGAGGGACTCAGTACGATCGACCGGGTATGAGTCAAGTTGAGTGTGAGTGAGTCCGGCTATGAGCGGGTCTGGTTATCAGCGAGTCTGACTGCGACAAGTTTGAGCATGCGTAATTGTACACGAGTGGGTGTGATTATGAGGGGGTATGAGTGTGAGCGGGTCAGAGAGAGCGTGGGAATGCGCAGGAGTGAGTCTGAGTGCGAGAAGTCCGAGTTTCAGTACATGCGTAGGCGTGGCTCTAAGTATCACCCAGTCTGAGTATGACCAAATCTGAGCCAGCGGTGAGCCTGCGTATGAGTGATCTATGGGCGGGATTGAGTCCGAGTGTGAATGGTCCTGAGTGTGAGTGAGCACGACCATGCGTAAGTCAGAAGCCCGAGCAGCTAAGTTTGATTGGGCTTGGGCCTGGGGAGAGTAATAATAATAGTCGTACTATGAATTATCATAGTAAGAATAAGAAGAAGGAATCAAGGGAAAGGCCGGAGCGCGTCACCGATAGCAAGAACCCCTGTTCTCAGGACATGGGCGACCAGCGGCGTAAACATACAGTCGGGAACCTTTGCTTCGCGTGTCGCGCCGCCGGTTCTGGCCCACCACGTTTCGTCGCGGCGCGCTATCTGCGTCCCAGTCCCCAGGCGTCAACTTCCTGAGCTTCTCCCAGCCTCCCGCCCCGCGGAGTGGATCGACATGCTCTAACATCGCAGAGCATACAGGGGCCGCAGGGGCCGCCGCCGCGACACGCTGAGCAAGGGCTCCTGAACGTAGATGTTTGGAGGTCCGCGCGGACTTCAGGAAGCTAGTTTGCCTCCAACTCCCCACCTCCCCACCCCCTCCAACTGGGTTTTGGACATCTTGGCGGATTTTCCCAGTCCCCCCCAGACGTGGTGGGTCAATTCTGAAGGGGACCGGTTCCGGGCTGCCCGATCGGAGGGCGGAGCGGATCTCACCATGTGGGCTCCCCGGCTCAGCTTCCCGCGGGTAGTCCGTCGTCATTGGGCCCTGTGGTTAGAGATGGAGCTCTGACGTTGCCTTTTTTCCCTGAACAGCGAACGCGATGGGGGTCGCATTCGCATTCTAAGAACCCAGGTCTGAATTTCACAGCCTCGGGAATGTGCCTCCTGAGGTGGTCTGAGCTCGAGGTGAAAGCTATGCGGTGCAAGCGGTGCAGGCCATGTCGTGCAAGCTGTGCGGTGCCAACCACGCCGTGTAAGCCATGCGGTGGAAGCCACGTGGTGGAAGCGCAGCGCACGGGGCGCTCGCGAGCGGCCACGAGGCGGCACAGCGGGAAACGTGGCGCCACCTCGGCGGACCCACATGGCGCACGGCGCGCCCACGAGCGCCCCCGAGGCGGCACGGGCGGCAGCGCGGCGCCACCTCGGCGGACCCACCCACCGCACGGGCGCCCACGAGCGCCCACGAGGCGGCACGGGCGCAGCGCGGCGCCACGTCGCATTTGGGCTCCCACGATTGCCCACGAGGCGGCACCGGCGGCAACGCGGAACCTCCTCGGCGGACCCGTCCAATTACTTCCGGAGCGCAGGTACGAACAGCTAAGTGCAAGTTCTGTTTGGGGTAAATTGTGCATGTACGTAGCACCCCGCAGTTGCAGATAAGAGTGAGGGGGGGGCGGCGGGGACGTCGGCAGTCTGCGATGTTCTGAAGAGGCGAGCCCTCCGCAGGCGCCGATCTTTCCGTTAAAGCAATGTGGATGGTTCGCGGGTGGGTCGCGGGTGGGTTGCGGGTGGGTCGCAGGTGGGTCGCGGGTGAGTCGCAGGTGGGTCGCGGGTGGGTCGCGGGCCGGGTCGCGGGTGGGTCGCGGGTGGGTCGCGGGTGGGTCGCGGGGTGGGTCGTGGGTGGGTCGCGCGCGGGTGGGTCGCGGGCTGGACGACGGCAATCAACAACAAACAACAAAGAACAGACAGCGCAAACAACAAAGGAAGCAACAACAACACACAACGCAACAACAACAATACTCATTTTAAGATTGTTCGCGGGGTGGGTCGCGGGCGGGTCGCGGGTGGGACGACGACAACAAACAACACCAACAACAGCAACAGCAACAGCAACAGCAACAACAGCAACAGCAACAGCATCAACAACAACAGCAACAACAGCAAAAGCAACGGCAACAGCAACTACAATGATTTTACCCTCATGCGCGACGTGTCCACACGAAGCATACGACCATCATGATAACCATCCCCATCATGGCGGATTATTGTTCTATAGTGGTGTCCGTTAGTCCCATTCCCACATTTCCCGCCCAATGAGGTCTTGCAAACACTTTCTCCGTTTAAACATATCCCGCCTCGAAATCGCATGCCCGCGCCTTGCTGCGCCGAAGCGAGACCGCCAGAGGAGCCCCACCCAAGGGTAAAGCACAAGGAAGTATCGAGCGACAGGATTGCCTTGGTGGGGATGGGGGCTGTCGGCGGCGAGGCAAGGACCTGGCCTTGAATAGAAAGGGAGGAAGTCTCGAGCAGGGCCGCTGTTGGGGAGCGGCGCCAATACTGAAGAGAGTGGGGCGCTAGTCCAGAGTAAACAAAATGATACCGGAGAAAATCCCAGTTCTATTTGTTAAAAGGGCTATGCGGCTGTAGGGCTATAGGGCTATAGGGCTACAGGGCTATAGGGCTATAAGACTATAGCGCTATAGGGCTGTAGGGCTATAGGGCTATATGGCTATATATTTATAAGGCTAAAGGGCTACGGGGTATTGGGCTAGAGGGCTGTAAAGCTATAGGGCTATAGGGAGAAAGGGCTATAGTGCTATAAGTTTATAAGGCTATATGGCTAGAGGGCTAGAGGGCTATAGGGTTATAGGGCTATTGTGTTATTGGGCCATATGGCTATATAGGGCTATATTGCTATAGAGGTGTAGGGCGATAGAGCACACAGGCACCCGGGCACCCGGGCACCCCCGGGCACCTCCGGGCACCCACGGGCACCTCCGGGCACCCCCGGGCACCCGGGCCGGCCACCGAAATCGGCGGCCCTCTTCACCTAACCATATGAATCAACTAGGACCTCTGCAGAGGCAAGCTCTGATTGGGGAACGAAGTCTCGAGCGGGAGCGCTGGTTTTGTTGGGACGGCGGTTGTTGGCGGCGAGGATGAACACCGCCTTGAGTAAGAATGGAGGAAGTCTCGAGCGGGAGCCATGGTTTTGTCGGGACGGGGGTTGTCGGCGGCGAGGAACAGCATCGCCCTGAGGAAAAAGGGAAGAAGCCTCGAGCGGGAGCGTTGTTCCTGCTGGGAGCGGCGCCAATTCAAAAGAGAGTATCCAGGGTAAAACGGGAGGAAGTCTCGGGCGGGAGCGCTGGTTTTGTCCGGACGGCGGTTTTCGGCAGCGAGGAGGAGCACCGCCTTGAGTAAAAAAGGGAGGATTTCTCGAGCGGGAGCTTTGTTGTTGCTGGGGGCGGCGCCGATGAGAGAAAGAGTAGCGCGCCAGTCCAAGGTAAAACGGGACGAACTCTCGAGCGGTAGCTCTGGTTTTGTTGGGATGGCGGGTTTCGGCGGCGAGTAAGAGGACCGACCCTGAGCAAAAAGGGAGGGAGTCTGGAGCGGGGGCGTTGTAGTTGTTGTGGTTGTTGTTGGGGGGCCGGTTTTGGCGCCCTCTCAAAGCGCTCGAGCGTGAGCCCCGTTTCAATAGAACATGTAGCCGGCGCCGAGGCGAGAGCGCCAAAGTGCCTGGGGGGGGGTCCAACAGTGATTATTGTTTAGTAATTAAGATTCAACAACAACGCAACGAACAGAGTTCTCACCACGAATTTCCCATTCAGACACGCACCCAGAGACAATGAATGACCATTCGGCCCACTCGATCTGATTTTTCAGTAGTGAGAATTCAACAATCCGCACCGCGGAACCTCACATCAGCCACGCGCCCAGGGGCAGTGAATGACCGTTTGGCCCCTCACTGTGACAACGAGGCCGCCGCAGGTGCCGATTTGTTCGTTGAAGCAATGTGCGTGGGTCGCGGGTCAGTCTCGGGTGGGTCGCGGGCGGGTCGCGGGCGGGTCGCGGGTGGGGTCGCGGGTGGGTCGCGGGTGGGTCGCGGGGTGGGTCGCGGGGTGGGTCGCAGGTCAGTCGCCGGTGGGTCGCGGGTGGGTCGCGGGTGGGTCGCGGGTGTGTCGCGGGGTGGTCGCGGGCCGGGTCGAGGGACGCTCGACGGCAGCACACAACAAGCAACAAAACATAACAATCAACAAACAACGCAACCACAACACCAACAACAGAGCACATTTTAATATTGCTCGTTCTTACCTGTTCGCGTGCCACTAAACACATATATCCCGAACCCACGGTACCCAACCTCTTCGTCTTCGATGAAAGCCACCTTGGGGTATACATGTTTGACCTGCTGCGCGTCAGTGGCACAGCTCCTGAAACTGTACAAGAGATGACGGATGGAAGGGGGAGGGAGAAGGATGGAGTTCATAATTCGCAAGAGATGGGCTACAATAGTTATTCTTCCGAAGTGCGACTTCAACAATAGCATCAGCAACGCCACCAACGCCACCAACAATAATAACAACACTGCGCACCGCGGAACTTCATTTCAGCCGCGCGCCCAGGGACAGTGAATGACCACTCTGTCCCCTCAATTTGATATCTATCTGCATATATGTATTTATGTATATATGTATAACGCGTGTCCGTGTAGCCCCTTGCCTGCCATTTCATACATATCTGTCGTCCCCCTTGCTGTGTTACTACTCTGCACTACTGCCTCCCACAGAGACGCCAGGCCTATCTGGACCGCGCGCAGTGGGTCAATTATTTCTGGCACGCTGGTCACCTGCACATCGAGGGCCTGAAGATGTCGAAGTCCCTTAAGAACTTCATCACCATCCGCCAGGCCACAAGGGGGCAGGGAGGAGGGAGACGGGAGGGAGGATCGAGAAGGGAGGAAGTAGGAGGGAGGAAGAAGTAGGGAGGGGGGAACGATGCAGCGGAGATGCGGGGAAAATGAGAGGGGGGAGGGAGAGAAGGAGGGGGGGGGGATGGGCAGGGGTGGCAGGGGGAGGGGCGGGTGGGTGGGCGGGAGGAAGATCAGGGCATTGGGAGGGAAATGGGAAGGCAAGTGCATGCTGGCGGCCTGCTAACATTCGCATGCTGCAGGCGCTCCGGAAGAGCAAGTTGGGACTAGTGGTGGACTGGGCCCAATGGAGTTGCACCGAATCGGAGTTGTTCGAGGGTGCGTGCTTCTCTTGCGTTCAGGTGGCTTCGCATGTCGAAGGCCCCTGGTGAACCGCTGACCCTGAAGATAACCGTACCTCTGCCATGTGCGTCTGCCGCTTCGATCGAAACACTCGAGCGAAACCGAGGCCAGCGCAATAGGAGGATTGATTGGTGAGCGAAAACGACTCAGGGATGACAAAGTGCCCCCCTACGAATCTTGCCCATCTTACCTTCCTCCTCCCAAACTGCGATTTCTCAAGCGCCCCCCCCCCCGCCATGGCCTGCAGCGGCATCGGCACAGGCGTGTGTCCCAGGTGCAGGATCTGCTCGTCTGATATTGGTGGTCGGTGCCCAAATCTTGAGGATGCGAAGGCCCATCTCGGCATTGATCAGATCGGCGGCGAGCGAGGGGGGGAAGTGAGAAGGATAAGGCCTTCTCAGAAGGCTGCGGAGCTTCTGAGAAGCCCCCCTGGCTTTCTGAGAAGTCTTCGGCGTCGTCGGGGAAGGCTTGGGAGACGTCTCAGCAGGCTGTGAGACTTCCAAGCCTTCTGAGAAGGCCCGCCCCTTCTCGCTTCCTCCCTGGGCTCGCCGCCAGTCAGCGGAGTTTGATCAACAGCGGACATCCGCGGCCAGCCTTCCGCAGCAGCCGGCTGCCCTGCCGCGTGGGCCAGATGCGGCAGACACCACGGGTCAGAGACGGCTCCTCCCAGCAGGCAGGCCGCGCCCTCAGGACTGCTCCTTATCTGCATGCTCTGGAGGGGGGGTGATGCCAGAATTGCTGCACGCAGCTGGTTTCGGGCCCCGCCCACCCGGGGCGCCTCTCTCGACGTGCGGTCGGAACCAGGCGCATCGTGGCGCCGGCAGATGCCGCGGCTCGTGATCTGCTGCTCCCCCCAGTTGCCGACCGAGCCCCCTCTTGTAGGGGGCCACATGCGAACCCCACCCCTGCCCCCCACGATTTCTCAGGGGGAGGGTGGGGTTCGCTTCGCTCGGGAGCTCCCGAGCGAAGTGAACCCCGCCCTCCCCCTCAGAAATCGTGGGGGGTAGGGGCAGGGTTCGCATGTGGCCCCCTACCCCCCCCCGTTGCCGACCGAGCCCCCCCCCCCCCCCTTGTTCGCCCGCCCCGACGTGCGGGAAGCTCTCCCCCCCCTCCCCCCTCGGGCCAGGCTGCGCCCCGCCCCCCCCCCCCCCTCTTTCGGCCTCTCCTCTGTCGGGGGTGGACAGACCTCCCACCCTGCCACGTCGATTCGTGAATCGTCCGTTTTCGGTTCTCGGGAGGGCGCCGCGGCCGTTATTTTCCAGGATTGCGCCCGCCAGGTCTGGGCCCGAGGTCGTTTCCACTAAGCCACGTTTTGCGAAAGGGGGTTCTGTCCATCCCCGACTCTTCGGCGCACCCGGCAACCGACAAAGCCTCCAGCTGCCCTCAGCCCGAGGCCAGAAGTTGCCAACCGCGAGCCCGCGAGGCCATGACCCGCTGGCCCGCGGCGACCCGTCGCGGTCGATCGATCGAGGATCCCTCGGCCGCGGGCTCGTCGTCGGCGTCGATGGGTCCAAATACGGCGATCGGTGCGAACCCTACACCTGACAGCTCAGAACTCTGAGAAACTGCCCGCGGTTCAGAGTTAGAATGTTGCCCGCAGCCGTATAGATCGACGACACGTAAGAGTGACCCTTCGCCGGGGTGACCTTTAGTGCGGGCCCATTGGGGCCCCCCGATCGTTGAAAGCGATGCAATAGCAATAGCTGCGGCCTGCGCGCTTGGGTTTGGCCCTCTCGCGCCCCCTGAAAGCTGTGCACCAAAGGTCACTCTTGTCTGGGGTCGCTCCTATGCGCAGCCGAATAGACTTCTGCGGGGGTGTCCGACCTCGATCTTGTACCGCGGAGGCGGAGGAGGAGGTGGCAGTTCCCAGAATCCCCCTGGGGACCCCCTGGAGTTTTCTGTCGATTTGTTGGCAGTGTTCTGCCCATCCTGGACCCCCCCAGAACAACCTCCTTGAGGATTTTTTGATGTGCGGTCTTTGGGGGGGGGCTTTCCAGGAACCCTTAGGGGAGCGAACAATGACATACACATATATAATTAGCCTGGCGAAGGACCCAACCATATGCAGTTGTGAATACCGCAATTGTGAATATCTTCTTCGGTGGCGCTCTCAATGGGGCCACGAAGCGCTGTACTGGGTGGGTGAAACGCAGGGAGCAAGGGCTGTGCTGGGTGGTGGCAGACGCATGCGGGCGGTGCCACTGGGACCTTTTGTGCAGCCCCCACATGGGGCCACGAAACGCTGTACCGGGTGGGCAAAACGCGCAGGGAGCAAGAGCCGTGCTGGGTGGTGGCTGACGCATGCGGGCGGTGCCACTGGGACCTTCGGTGGAGCTCCCTATGGGGCCACGAAGCGCTGTACTGGGTGGGCGAAACGCAGGGAGCAAGGGCTGTGCTGGGTGGTGGCAGACGCATGCGGGCGGTGCCATTGGGACCTTTGGTGAAGCCCCCTATGGGGCCACGATAAGTTGTGCTGGGTGGGTGAAATGCAGGGAGCAAGGGCTGTGCTGGGTGGTGGCGGACGCATGCGGGCGGTGCCATTGGGACCTTTGGTGGAGCCCCCTATGGGGCCACGAAAAGTTGTGCTGGGTGGGTGAAATGCAGGGAGCAAGGGCTGTGCTGGGTGGTGGCGGACGCATGCGGGCGGTGCCATTGGGACCTTTGGTGGAGCCCCCTATGGGGCCACGAAAAGTTGTGCTGCAGGGAGCAAGGGTGCTGTGGTGCAAATTGGGACCGCAGGCTGGGGTGGGTGAAATGCAGGGAGCAAGGGCTGTGCTGGGTGGTGGCGGACGCATGCGGGCGGTGCCATTGGGACCTTTGGTGGAGCCCCCTATGGGGCCACGAAAAGTTGTGCTGGGTGGGTGAAATGCAGGGAGCAAGGGCTGTGCTGGGTGGTGGCGGACGCATGCGGGCGGTGCCATTGGGACCTTCGGTGGAGCCTCCATATGGGGTCACGAAACGCTGTACGGGGTGGGTGAAATGCAGGGAGCAAGGGCTGTGCTTTGTGGTGGCGGACGCATGCGGGCGGTGCCATTGGGACCTTCGGTGGAGCCTCCATATGGGGTCACGAAACGCTGTGGGTGAAATGCAGGGAGCAAGGGCTGTGCTTGGTGGTGGCGGACGCATGCGGGCGGTGCCATTGGGACCTTCGGTGGAGCCCCCTATGGGGCCACGAAACGTTGTACTGGGTGGGTGAAACGCAGGGAGCAACGGCCGTGTTGGGTGGTGGCGGACGCATGCGGGCGGTGCCACTGGGACCTTCCGTGGAGCTCACTATGGGGCCACGAAGCGCTGTATTGGGTTGGTGAAACGCAGAGAGCAAGGGCTGTGCTGGGTGGTGGCGGACGCATGCGGGCGGTGCCATTGGGACCTTCGGTGGAGCCCCCCATGTGGCCACGAAACGCTGTACTGCGTCGGTGCAACGCGGGGAGGAGGGAGGAGGTGGAGGAGGGAGGGGGAGGAGGAGGAGAAGAGGAGAGGAACGCGGGGACCGTCTCTTCAAAACGAGGACCCAACACCACAGGATGGTTGGGAAAAACTCAGAGGTTCGCCAGGATTTCTCGGATCGGCGCTGGACCCCCCTCCCTGGCGCGCGGAGCGGGCGCTGGAGGCGCCGCCGGGGGGGTCCAGCGCCGATCCGAGAAATCCGCGCGGACCCCTGAGTCATTATGTTTATCATGTTTATGTCGTCGTCCGCTCCCTCCCCTGAGGGTCCCCCCCCTGCGTGGCTTGGACCCGCAGGGGCAGGATCCGAGATGGGGCCGCGAAGGGCTGGGCGCCTCCCGGCGGCACAGGTCTGGGCCCCGCCTCGGGGCTGGGGCCCGGAGGGGTCCTCACCGGTCGGCCCCGACGAGCCATCGATCGAGGATCCATCGGCCGTCGTCGAGGGTCCTCCTTTCCTCCTCCAGGATCCTCTTCCTCCTCCTCCCCTGGGTTCCTCCTCCCCCTCTTCCTCCTCCAGGATCCTCCTCCTCCTCCTCCTCCTCCTCCTCCTCCTCCTCCTCCTCCTCCCCCTCTTCCTCCTTTTGCACAGGACATGAGATCGTTGCGTTCCCCTCTTCCTCATCCTCCTCCCCCTCCTCCTTCTCCTCCTCCTCTTTCTCCTCCTCCTCCTCCTCCTCCTCTTCCTCCTCCTCCTCCTCCTCCTCCTCTGACGATCGAGGTTCAATCGTCAGAGGGGGAAATGGTACCCATACCACCACCCTCGCCCCGTTTTCGCCTTTTTGGGCCTCCTCGGAGGCCCGCGTCGCCACCGTTAGATCCGCCTCAGAATTCCTGGCAGACCGCACCCGAGGAGAGGTCTGGGGAGTACCAGTATCGGTACACTGTGGTTCCCCCAGCTTGGACGAGGGCCGACGTCGTCGTCGATCGATCTCGATCGAGGCTCGGGGTTCGAGGTTCACGGCCAGGAGCCTTCGTTTAGTTAGCGTGTCACGCCGGCCGTTCTGGCCCACCACGCCTCGGCGCGAGGTGCTAGCACTCCAGTCCCCCAGGCATCAACCGGGTGGAGCTAGGACGAGGATAAATCCGTTCCCCAGTGTTCAGGGACGCTCTGAAGAGACCGCGGCGCCCGAGACATCATCCAGAGCCGCCATATCTCAGAGATTCTTGATTCATCCTCACCCGATGGTATCCTCATTCTGGTTTCTTCTTAATCAACGTCCCTAGCTTACCCCATCCCCCTGGTCCCGCAGAGCGGAGCGACACGCTAGCAGTTTGGAAGACACAGCGTGTCGCAGGGGCCGTCGCGGCGAGACGGTTCGCAGAGCTTCCCACCATGGTTGTTGCCGCGCCCGTTCTCCAGCCCAGGGGGGTCGGTCTAAGCGGTGGTTTGGCGATTCCGTGGGCCGTGTTCCTTTCGACTTCGTTGTGCAGCAAGGGCGGCCGGGAGACACGACGAGGGCAAGCGAAAACACCTCAAAACGAAGAACCAGAAGAGGAGGACGAGGAGGAGGAGGAGGAGGAGGAGGAGGACAAGGAGGACGAGCAGGACGAGGAGGACGAGGAGGACGAGGACTGTTTTGGTCAAGCCCATCCGTCCCTCTCTCGGGCCACGGCCCGGCGCCCAGGACCACCCCTGGCAGCATAGTTACAGGTCTGCTGCCGCCTACCCCCCTGGTTCCCTGACGCTTTCGCGCTGTGGCTGGTGGTCCTCGTCGGCGTCCTGGGGCCCTCACCCCGGCCACAGGGGCCGTCCAACTATTACCCCTGGGATGATGGGAAAGCCGTCCCGAGAGGAGGGTGCAGAAATGTGGGGAGCCACGCTGCGAAACGGTCGCGGCGTTGGCTGTCTGGCCATCTCTCTCTTCCCTCCCCTCGCCCCTGCCGACCCCCCCCCCCTGGGCGGCGCGCCAGGTCTTTTCGTGGGGCAGAGGCGTGTGGGGGGGTCCCTGCAGAACAGGCAGTGCTCGGGGGCCTCCAAGAAGGCATCCGGTGGAAGGCAGGAGGGCTGCTGAGAAGCCCCCTGCCGCCCCCCTGCATAGAAGGCCACCGCCTTTGTCCCGCCAATCCGTTTCCTCCCCTTCCTCCTGGGGCTCAGGCTGCGGACCTGTCTGCGCGATGCACTGGGTCCTCGGTGACCCTGGTCCTGGCCGACGCCAGGGAAGAGTAAAAAACCGAGAGATAGAGGAAAAATGGGAACGACTGACCTGCGGAGACCCTCTTTCTCCTCATCCCCCCTCTGCCGCCACTCGTCCGTCGGGAGGGCTTCCTGGCGCTCCGGAGGCGATGGAGATGCACTCGGCCAGGCAGCTGCGGATGATGTTCCTGATGCAGCCGTGGGACAAGGGCATGAACTACTCGGACCAGGCCCCAACCCCTCCGACACTTGTGTGCTATGCTCTCTGTGTGCACCTACTCCCTTAGAGGAGGAAGCGATACCCACACTGCTGCTTATTCTGGAGAGCCCTCGTCGCCACTGTTGGATTCTCCCCGAAATTCTAGTCCAAGTGCACCCTGGGAGAGGTCCGGGGCGTAGCGGTATCGGTACCTCTTGGCCACCACACTCCATGATTTCCAAGGCCATCTGGGATAGATCTATTCGCGATGATGGGTGAATCTAGATTCTAGATGTCGTTTGATCACCGTCAAACCGTCGTGTTACACTTGCGCTTGTGGTTATATAATTTGCCCACTTTGGGCTCTGGGGGCTCTCTCCGGGCACCAGGATCTCATCCAATAGTTGCCTGCAATGAAAAGCTGGTCCGGGGAGAACTCTTGCCACCCGAAATATAAATACTTCACAAACCCGACGTCGAAGGTTTGGGACCGCCCCTCGGAGGAAGGGGTGCTCCCCTTCCCACGCCTGCCGCTTCTCGGGGTGTTCTGCCCCCCCTGCGCTCCGCAGGTTAGCAATTCCTGCCCCCCTCCCCCGAGGCTGGTGGTGGTCATCGTAAGTCTGCCTTTTCCTTGCTCCTCGTCATAATCCCGTTGCTTACTCTTCCTCCTCGCCACGAGGCCTGAATCCATCCACCATCACCACCATCCACCACCATGCGCACATTGCTTTTTCAATTGAAGAGCCCCCCTCGGGGCTCGCACCCTGTTTTTTTATTGGGGGAAGTCTTCATGCTCAAACTGTGCTGTTCGCACCCCCGCTACAACAACAGCGGCTTCCGCCTGATACTTCCTCGCGATGTATTACACAATCGCGCTCTCGCGCAGGACTGCCTCGCAACTTATGCATCAATCGCGCTCTCGCGTGGGACTACCTCGCAAATTATGCATACATCGCGCCCTCGACACTGAGGAATCCCGCTCTTGCTCTGGATTTTCTCATGTGTTACATGAACGGAAACCCGCGCGAGCGAGCCAAGGGGGGCGCGGCCGCCGCGCGTTCTTTGACGGGCCCTCGAGGCACCAGGCACCGTCGCAAATCAACGGGAACCAGCGCGAGCGAGCCTAGGAGGCGCGGCCGCCAGGCGTTCCTGGACGGGCCCTGGAGGCACCAGGCGCCCTCGCAGATGAACGGCAGCCAGCGCGAGCGAGCCACGGGGGGGCGCGGCCGCCAGGCGTACCTGGACGGGAATCGCGCTGTCGCTGGAGACGTCCTCGCGATTCATGCAGGAGTCACGCTTCAGCAACCCGCCTGCTCCTCCTGGCCACCTGGGCCCGCCTTCCCGACCCGCCTGTTAGGGTCTGCCCGCCCGACCTGCCCGTCTGGTTCTGCCGCGTGTTTTCTGTTCCGAGCCCCACTCCTGCTAATTTCTCTCGTGCTCCATCCTTCTCCCTCCCTCTTGTCCCTTCCTTCCATCTGGTTTCTTCCTCTGCTTTAGGGGCTGCACGAAAAGCACGTTGCAGGTAAGACAGGTCTACCCTTCAGGGGGCACGATCGAAGATGTAGAGGGCGGGTATCGAGGGTTTGGGATATACGTGTTGAATGGCACGCGAGCAGATACCAGCGAACAGGTTTTGCAATGATTGGTGTTGTTGTTGTCGTTGGTGTTGCTGTTGATGAGTCCTTTATGTTTAAGGATAATTGTTGTTGATTTCCACTCTGGCAGCCTGTATATTACCCGTTTGAAGTGCCCCCTCTCGGGACTCGCACCCTGTTGTTCTATCAGGGAAAGCTTTGTGTCATCAAACTGCGTTGGAGTGACCCTAACGACAACAACGACGGCTCCCGCTTGCTACGTCGTCAAGGTATTTTCAAGTCGCGCCATCGCGCGGGGCTTCTTCAAAAGTCATAAAGGAATCGCGCTCTCGCGTTGGACGCCCCTGCGTTTTATTCAGACGCCGCATTCTCGACACTCAGGTCTCACGCTCTTGCTTTGGCCTTTCTCACGATTTACTTGGGAATCGAGCTGTAGCTCGAGAACTCTTCGAGATTCATGCAGGGTTCACGCTTCAGCAATACGCCTGTTCGACCTGCCGCCTGGGCCCGCCTTCCCGACCCGCCTGTTACGGTCTACCCGCCCGATGGGCCTTCCGGTTCTCCCACGTGTTTTCTGCTCCGAGCCCCCCTTCCACGAATCCCGTGCTCCATAGTTGTCCCTCCCCTTTCCATCCGTCCTGTCCTTTCCTCTTTCAGGGGTTGCACCAATTACTCGCGGCAGGTAAGGAAGAGATACCCCCGTGGGGGCACGATCGAAGACGAAGCGGTCGTGTACCGAGGGTTTTGGATAGACGTGTTGAATGGCACGCAAGCCGGTAAGAGCGAACAGTTTCAAAATACGTGTTGATTTTGTTGGTGAGTTCTTATTTCTAAATACTGAATCTTGTTCGTCTTCCTTCCGGTGACCATTGCGTTTTTCATTTTAAGTGTTCCTCCTGGGGCTCGCTTTCCCGGAAAATGTGTGGTCACCAAATTGTGCCCTTGGCCCCCGATTTGCAACAACAACGGCTCCCGCTTGATACTTCCCCCCAAGTTCTCGCAACATCGCGCACTCGCGCGGGACTTCCGTTCAGGTGATGTAGGAATCGCGCTCTCGAGGGGGACGTAATCGCAATTTGTTGGAACGCTGTGCCCTCGACACTAAGAAATCACGCTCTCGCTGCGGCTGTTCTCATGATTTATTTGGGAATCGCGCTATCGCTTGAGACGTCCTCGTTATTCATGCAGGACTCACGCTTCAGCAACACGCTTGTTCGCCCTGACCGCTTGGGCCCGCCTTCTCGAACCGCCCGCTAGAGCTTACAACCCCGATCAGCCCGTCCTGTTTTGCCGCGTGTGTTCTGCTAATAGCCCCTTTGATGTTAATTTCTCCCGTGCGCCATCCTGCTCGCTCCCCCTTCCATCTGTCGTCCCGTCCTTCGCTTAAAAGGCAGGTAAGGAAGATAGACCCCCAAGGGGGTAAGGTCGAAGACTAAGAAGGCGGGTGCCGAGGGTTTGGGACATACGTGTTGAAAGGCACGCGGTAAGAGCGACCAGTCTTATAATGACTGCTGTTGTTGCTGACCTCTTCAGTCTTGAAAAAGACAGTTTAGATCCCCCCTCACAGGTTCACATTGCGTTTCAATCGAAGTGCCCCCCTCGGGGCTCGCATCCGGTTTGTCCATTAGGGGGAGTCTTCCTGCTCGAAGCGGATTGCTGGTCCCCCATCTACAATATCAACGGTTCCCGCTTGATATTTTTCCTAAATGTATTCCAAAATTGCGCTTTCACGCGGGACTTCCTCATATTATGCAGGAAGCGCGCTCTCGCGCGGGCATTCCTTGCAATTGATTCAACCGCCGCGTCTTGGACCTTCAGGAATCACGTTTTCGTTATGGCCTTTCTCACGATTTACTTGGGAATCGCGCTATCGCTCGAGACGCCCTCGCGATTCATGCAGCATGCTTCAGCAACCCGCCTGCCCGACATGCCCGCTTGGTCCCGCCTTCCTGGCCAGTCCGTTGGGGTCTGCCCGCCCGATCAGCCCGTCTGGTTCTGCCGCGTGGTTTCTCTTCCTAGCACCCCTTCTGCTAGTTTCTCTCGTGCTCCATCCTTCTCCCACACCCTTCCATCCGTCCTCTCTTCCCCTGTCTCAGGTCCTGAGATAAGTACGCATGACAGGTAAGAAAGATACACCCCAAAGGGGGGACGATCGAAGATGAAGGGGGTGGGTGCCGAGGGTTTGGGACATACGTGTTGAGTGGCACGCGTGCAGATACGAGCGATCAGTCTTACAATGATTGTTGTTGTTGTCCCGCCCGCGACCTGGCCCGCGATCCACCCGCGACACGCCCGCGACCCACCTGTGACCCACCCGCGACCCACCCGCGACCCATCCGCGACCCACCCGCGACCCACCCACGACCCACCCGCGACCCACCCCGCGACCCACCCGCGACCCGCCCGCGACCCGCCCGCGACCCGCCCGCGACCCACCCCGCGCTCGCCCCCTCACTCTTATCCTCAACCGCGGGGTGCTGCAACCCTTGCCTCCTGGCCAAAACTGCCAGCCAAAGATGCTCACCACCTGGCCCAGACCTACCAACCAGATGCCCCACCTCCCGTCACCCAACACTGCCAGCAAAATGTCCCCCCCTCCTGGCCTAAACCTGCTGGATGGCATCACCTCCTGGTCCAAACCTGCCAGCATTTTTTTGCTCACCGACTGGACCCACATGCCAGCACGATATCATCTCCCCTGGCCCAATGCTGTCAGCCCAGTGGCCTCACTCCTTCACCTAAACTGCCAGCAAGAAATACTTACCCTCGTCCCTGGGTAGCGAGCCAGATATCCGTAGCCCCTGGCCCAAGACTGACAGCCAGATTTTCCCTCCTCGCTGGTGTAATTCTACTCTAACGGCCTACCAAATCAGGTCATCTCGGCCCATCCCCTCTCCTCTCGGGCCACTTGGTCGCCTCGAGGCCTCGACATCCCAGGGGCCCCGAGCGGGACTCGTCACCGGATCGCCCCTATCCCTGTTCTCCCTCCTCTTCTTGTCCTGGTTCTGGCATCCGATGCCCGCCATCGGGCTCTCCCGGTGAGGCCATCGACATGGCCCGCGAGGTGGAGCGCAAGGTCAAGCACTTCATGGGGCGCCTCAGGCGCCGCGGGTCGCCCCATTGCCTCCTCCTCCTCCTCCTCCTCCTCCTCCTCCTCCTCCTCCGCCTCCTCTCTTTACATGATCCCTCTCGCCCCTCATCGTCATCACCCGCCCTTCTCCTAACTGAACCCTCCTCTTCCTTCTCTTCTTCCACCTCGTGATTTTGCTATTATCTTCCCCCTTCTCGTCCCTCTTCTCCTGGTCATCCCGCCCATTCCTCCCAGTCGTTCCCCTTTGTGTCTTCATCCTCCTACCATTCTCTCTTGTCTTCCTGTTCCTCCTCCTTCCCCGCAACCTCCTCTCTTCCCTTCTCCTCTTCCTTTCCACCCTCTCCTCCTCGTCGTCTTCCACATGTTCTGCCTCCCGCTCCTCTTTCTCGTCCTCCACCGGACCCTTTCTTCCTCCTTTCTCATCCATTTCCTTTCCTTTCTCGACGGCGTCCTTATTCTCCTCGTTGTGTTCCTCCCTGTTCTTCTCCTCTGCGCTGTCGACTCCTTCATCTCCATCGCGTCGTCGTCCTCGTCAGCCTCCCTTTCATCGTCGTCGTCCTCCTCGACAGACTGTCGGCAAAAACCGAACAATGCAAAGAAGCTCGCGTTTCCTGAAGTGTAGCTTTTTGTGCCGCCAGGGCGCTCGTCGGAAATCGCCCAAATCAGGTGCGGCCGCGAGAACGGCTGCAGGCGCAGTCGGACCGAGGTATACGATCGAGGTCCGTTCCGGGAGGGTGCCTTGGTGTTCTTCGTGCTCGTTGGATGCTCTTGTGCATCCTGGGGAGGGCACCCTTGGATGTGCCGCGTGTTTTGGCCGGCGGAGGGCCCCCATGCTCTTGAAGCGTGCTCTTCCTTCCCGGGGTCCGCCGGTGCGTGCGTCCGCTCGCGTGCCCGACCTGCTGCCAGAGCGTGTGGAGCACCGCGTCCTCTCCAGAGGGGCGGCGCGAGAGCTCGCGAAGAAACCTGGGGCCCGAGGCGGGCCCGGGGTTTGCCCAGGCTGGGGGGGAGGGCCGCGCAGGCACGCAGCAGATGCCGACGTCGTGCCGCCGGGCCGAGGTACGAGAACGAGGCCGAATCGGGGAGGGTGCCCCGGTGGTCTGGTGCATCCTGGGGGGGGGTACCCTGGGATGTCTTGTCTGCTCTGGCCGGCGGAGGGCCTCGTGTTCTCGAAGGAGGTTCTTGTGGCCCGGGTCCGACTGCACAGTGGGCGCATCGCCTCAGAACTCGGCCTGCCAGCGGGTGCCCCACGGAAGCGTGTTGTCCCCCGGTGGCCCCAGAGACCCGCAGAAGCTCTGCGGCACCTTCGGACCCCGAGAGATCGACGACGACTGTGCCCCGAGCTTTCTTATATAGCAAGGTTTCCCATCGAGTGCGCTCAGTGTAGGTCTGGGTATCGGCGCCTCCCTCTCCAGACATAAGTCGGGCATGTCTCTCTACAGGAAGAGTATTCAGAAATAGTCACGACATAGTCTGGGGACGATTTTCTAGTACTGTCGAATCTGTTTTGACTATGTTTTGACTATTTTTTATTTTTCGTCCCAAGTCCGCCTGTAGGAGGACATGCCCGACCTAACTCCAAACTCTCTTGGGTCCTTGGGCCTCCAGTGGTCCACGCGGAGGTCTCTGGGGCTACCCAGGGCGGCGGGGAAGCGGGGCCCAGAGGAACCAAGAGGGAGATGGGAGAGGAGACGATTGTCAGAGTGAGCCTTGACCACTTCGGCAACCTTCCCAGATTGCCGACAACACGTTTTTCTTCACACGAGCGTTTTTCATCGATCTCAGCCTCATAGGCCCGTGATCGGGTTCCGGGGCCATCAAACATGGATCCGGGACGAAGTACTACCCAAGGGGATAGGGTCGGAACCTCTGGGGCCGCGGATTGAACCACTCGTTTCAGAGGATGTATGGATTCATGCCTCATGCAGGGCTCGCGTGGGTCTCCACATTCACCAAGGGTTTGCACCGAGCCTGCAGTTTGGGTTCCGATCTCTGGTGGCACAGAATCAGACGAGCACTCTTCTTGTGTGGCCAGAGCCTATGGTCTTCGTATCTCGTGTCTGGGGTATTGAAGACATGGTGAGCTTTCATCAGTTCGACGCCCCTTGTTTGTGCCTCCCATGAGGGTGGTAGAACCAAGGATGTACACAGAGCTTCCGCATGCCGCTCGTCTTCAGATACGGTGCGGGTGGATCGTTTGAGCGGTGAGGGCCAGGAGGGTGTCCCGGGACGATCCCAAGAGACTCCCCCTCCTCACGCTCCCGCTGCCCCTCGCCGCTCCCTCGCCGCTCGAGCCAGGGCACGCGCGCCCGTTGTCGCGAGCGCGCCCTAGCGGGCGAACCGGGAGGACGGAGGAGGGAGGGGGGAGGGAGGAGGGAGGGAGGAGGGAGGGAGGAGGGAGGGAGGAGGGGGAGGGGAGGAGGAGGAGGGAGGAGGGAGGAGGGAGGACGGAGGGAGAGGAGGTGGAGGAGGGAGGAGGGAGGGAGGGACGACGGCGCGCAGCACGGAGGAAAGGGGGCAGGCAGCAGGGGGCCATGCGCGGAGCGGCGAGCGCGGAGGCGGGTCGGGTGCCTCTTATGTGAGGGCCCGGGCGCCCGACGCCGGCCGTGCACGCCCGCGGCGCGAGAGGAGCTGCATCGCCCAGACCTCTGGGCGATGCAGCCTCCTCCTCCTCCTCCTCCTCCTCCTCCTCCTCCTCCTCCTCCTCCTCCTCTCCTCCTCCTCCTCCTCCTCCTCCTCCTCCTCCTCCTCCTCCTCCTCCCCAGACCCCCGACGAAAGAGTTGTTTCATGCGACGTCGACCCCGGTCTCGACCCGCTCCCCGGGGCCAGCTCTTCGTCGTGAGTCGTTGTTAGGGTCTGGCGAAGGCCGAGGCCGAGAAAAGCAAGAGCCTCCCGCCCACTTCTTTCACGCCGCGAGGGGGGTCTGGGTAGCGTGGAGCCGGCAGCGTGCGCCAGGTTCCACCAGCGGCGCGGGCACGGGAAGGTCGCTGAGGGGGGCGCGCCGAGCTCCCTGGACGCGTCCACCAAGGCCGCCAAGGAGGCCCCGCGGCGGCGCGCTTGCCCTCGGCGCGGTCAGCGATGTCGACGCCAGCGACGGCAGCGGCGACGGCGGCGAAGGAAACGGCGACGACGACGGTGGCGTCGGCGGCTGCAGCGGCGACGACGACGAGGGCGGCGGAGACGGCGACTCCGAGGAGGGCCAGCTGAGACAACGGTCTGGTCTTCGGGAGGGCCCCTGTCGCTGCGGGGCTGGACGCAGCTCGGCGAAACTGGTGCGTAGGTGCGGATCCCTGGAGGGTTCCGGGGACCGATTTTGAGCTGCCGTGGTTTCACCTCGCCCTGCTGCGAGATGGAAACGGCAACAGCGACGGCCGCATCGGCGACGGACGGCGACGACAACGAGGGCGACGGCGACCGGCGCGGCAATGCTCACGGCGGCCGCGACGGGCACGGCGGCGGCTGCGGTGCGGTGGCAGCGGCGACGGCGAAGACGGCGAGAGGCTTTGTGATCGTTTGGGCCTCGAGGGGGCCTCGGAGGTTGCCACATGGCGCCGCGCTCCTCTTGTCCTTCAGGAGGGAAAGAAAACACACAGACACAATTAATCGTCGATCCCCCAGAAAATATGGGAAAATATGGGAAGTGGGGGGGAAGACGAAAACCCAGAAAATATAGGAAAATATGGGGCATGTTTTTATTTGTGTGTATTTATTTGTGTGTCCTTGGGCCCCTTGAGTTTGGGCCTCGAGGGGGCCTCGGAGGTTGCCACATGGCGCCGCGCTCCTCTTGTCCTGTCGGCCGAGGGTGTGCGTGCGTCTGCCGACGCTCCCTCGCCGATCGGAGCCCCGGCCCAGCGCCGCCCACAGCAGGAACCACTTCCTGCTCCTCCTCCTCCTCCTCCTCCTCCTCCTCCTCCTCCTCCTCCTCCTCCTCCTCTCCTCCTCCACTCCTCCTCCTCCTCCTCCTCCTCCTCCTCCTCCTCGCTTGGTCCTCCTCCTCCTCCTCCTCCTCCTCCTCGCGCCCCCTCTTACGCTGGTCTCCTCCCTCCTCCTCCTCCTCCTCCTCTCCTCTTCCTTCGCTGGTCTCCTCCTTCTCCTCCTCCTCCTCCTCCTCCTCCTCCTCCTCCTCCTCATCATCCTTCGCTGGTCTCCTCCTTCTCCTCCTCCTCCTCTCCTCCTCCTCCTCCTCCTCCTCCTCCTCTTCCTTCGCTGGTCTCCTCCTCCTCCTCCTCCTCCTCCTCCTCCTCCTCCTCCTCCTCCTCCTCCTCCTCATTTGTTTCTGCATCACCCGCCCCATCCTCGTGCTCCCCTCCATCATCATCTTCATCCTCCGTCCCCTCCCTGATGCTCAACTGCGCGTCCTCCTCCACGCCTGCCGCCCCCCGCCCCCGCCCCCGCCTCTTCCCCCTGCCCTCCCCCGCCGCTCCGCGCCTCCCCTCCCCGCGCCCCTGCTGCGCCGTGCACTGCCGCGCATCGCGCACCCTCTCGGGGATCGCTGCCCTGCTCGACATCCAGAGGGAGGGAGGGGTAGGACGCCAGAGAAGGCGCTTGCGCACTCAGCCTGTCCCGTCCTCTCTCTCTCCCTGCCTCCCTCCTCTCCTGGCACCGTCCTCCCCGCCCCGGCCCTCCTCTCCTTCCTCCCCCCCCTCCTGTGACGACCGTTGCCGTGGCCTGGCTCCATCGCCGTCGGCGGGCTCCGCGTCGGTGGCGTGCGCGGTGGCTCCCTTCGACGGGCCTGCCCGCGGAGTCGCTACGAGGAGGAGGAGGCGGAACGGGGCACGAGGAAGTCGAGGAGGAGGAGGAGGAGTCTGGAGATGGAGGAGGAGGAGGAGGAGGAGGAGGAGGAGGAGGAGGAGGAGGATCAGGAGGAGGGCGAGGGCGAGGACGAGGGCGAGAGGGAGGCTGAAGATGAGGCCGGGCAGGAGGAGGAGGAGGAGCAGGAGGAGAGGAGGCCGAAGACGGGTCGGCGAGGGGGACGAGGACGATTCTTGGGCTGAAGCTGAGGCGGAGGAGCTTGAGGCCGACGAACAGGAGGAGGTCGATAAGGAGGAGGATGTGAACCAGGGTCAGCCCGAGGCAAAATAGTAATTTTGCAATGAGCCCTCCCTCCAAGTTCTCTCTTCACAGGTCCCCAGGGGGATGTACGTTCACTGCGGGAAGTGGCCCATTAGAAGACAACCGTCTGAGAAGCCTCACTCGTGCAAAAACGCAGTTCTTGGGAAATCGCCGACGCGGATCAACGTTAGAGTTGCTCCTCGACATTTCGAAGTTGTGCCAACACGCCGTTCCTTGGACTTCAGCACCGCGAGTCAACGTGACTGTTAGGTTCTGACAGTTTTAAGCGGTGCCAGGACACAATATTTGGGACTTCGACTCTACGAATCCTTGACGCTGTTGCAAACTTTGACGACGAATGCGCGCGAAGCTAAGGCGAGACCCATATTTAAAGAAGGAGCCGCCCTACAACTTTGAAACAGTTGCAAGCTTGTTTGGTAAATGTACTCCGTGCGAGCACGATCGCCACGTTTTGAAAACGGCCCGCCCTCCACCTGTGAACCTGTTGCAATTTGTATTGACCAATGTGTGCTTCACCAAGTCGAGAGCCACATTGTTGAAGACGGGCCGCCCTCCATCCGTAAAGTAGTTGCAACCAACTTTGAATAGTTAGGGTTATCGATGGTGAGGAGGTCTCAGGCGAAACGCCCAGCCTGCCCTACTGACACGTCCGTAGGTGCGGCATGGAGGAGTTATTAACATTGATAGGGGATGGATGCGGAAGTGGAGGAGGCGAAGGAGGAGCATGAGAACGGAGAAGCGAGTCGCAAGCAGCTGCCACGCCCCTTTTTGCAGCCGCCCTCCCCCCGTCCGCCGAGACCATCGACTCGGCCCTGGCCGACAACTTTAACACGGGCAAGGCTCTGCGCAGTAGGGCCAGGAACAAGGAGAGGGAGAGGAGGAGGAGGAGGAGGAGGAGGAGGAGGAGGAGGAGGAGGAGGAAGAGCAGGAGGAGGGAGAAGTCGAGATTGTGAAATCGGTCTAGCGAAGCCGCTTGCGCGCCACAAGTCCTCCCAGTCTCTCAAGAATCTATACCTTCTGGGTATCGCAGCCCGTCTCTGAATAGGCATCAAGCCTGGAGATGCCTGGTGCACCTCCCACTGCCTCTGCTGCAGCACCGACTTTTGGCCTCCTGGAAGAGGCTCTCTGTACGTAATCGAGCCTCGAGTGTACCTCTCTCCGGGGTTGCGTAAGGCCCCCCCCCCCGGCTCCACCCTGTCCGACGGCCTGATCTGCCCCCCCCCCACGCGCGCCGAACCCCCTCCCGAATGCGAATAAGAAAACCGCCATAAATATATACGTTTGGCTTGGATCCGCGCTCGGCCCCCCTGGCAGCGCATGCGGCGCCGCCCCTGGCGCGCTCCGCGCGCTGGGAGGGGGGTCCGGCACAGATCCGAGAAATCCGCGCAGAGCGCCACAAGTCTATGCTTCTGGCGTTTTTTCTTCTTCGACTGCAGCAGCCCAGCCCCCCAACTAGGGGAACAAACAGTGACATAAACATAAAAGCTCGGAGGTTCGCGCGGACCTCTCGGATCGGCGCTGGACCCCCTCCCTGGCGCGCGGAGCGCGCCAGGGGCGGCGCCGGAGGCGCCGCCGGGGGGCCCCAGCAGGGGCACGAGCCTGCCGCACTCTGGAGGTGTGGGGGGGGGGGGGAGGGGTCGCGTGGGGTGGTGGGCGTGGGCTGTCCTTCGCGGGGCGTTGGTAGGGGAAACAAAAACAGACATCAACACAAAAGCTCGGGGGTCCGCCCGGATTTCTCGGATCGGCGCTAGGGCCCCCCGGCGGCGCCTCCGGCGCCGTCCCTGGCGCGCTCCGCGCGCCAGGGAGGGGGGTCCAGCGCCGATCCGAGAAATCCGCGCGGACCTCCGAGTTTTTATGCTTATGCCATTTTTTGTTCCCCTAATATACGCGCGTCATGTGTCCTCCGACCCACCCGCCCACCCAGCAGATAACGCGACGCCCTCCGCTTCCCCCCCCCCGTTGCAGCAGCGCCTGCTGTGTAGCGCGCAGGTATGCTGTCCGTAGTGTGCGCGCAACGTGCTATGTTATGCGCCAGCGAACCCACCCAGCCAGCCAGCCACATAACGCGCGTGAGCCCATCAGCAATCACGACCTGAGCCCTCGACCCGAGCTTTCTGCGTCCCTTCTCGACCCGGATCGATCTGTGAGGGCCCCGGAGCCCGACATTAAGGGCGAGAGCCCGGCTCGAGCAAACTGAGGCGCCAGGATCCCAGGGAAGGCTCCGATCGCTCCAGGCGGAACGATCCCGCGCGGTGTCAGACACCGGCGCCGAGGTCGCCACGACGCGCACCCGCCGTGCCGAGCTCTTCGGGGAGAGCTCTGGGGCGTCCCGGGCCCACCCGCGGGGAGGCGCTGAGCCTCGACCGCTGACGCGCCCTGGGGGCCTGGCCTCTGCCTCCCGCCGCAGCAGCCTGGGCCTGGGTCTGCGGATTGCTTCGGGGGCCGGGGGGGCCCGGGCTCCCGGGCCATTCTCGGCGGCGAGCGAGGGGGGGAAGTGAGAAGGAGCAGGCCTTCTCAGAAGGCGGCGGGTCTTCTCAGATGCGATCGGGCCTTCTCAGAAGCCTTTTCTTCCTGCGTCTTCGTGGAAGGCTTATAAGAACTTCTCAGAAGGCCCGGGGACTTCGAGCCTTCTTAGAAGGCCAGCCCCTTCTCGCTTCCCCTTTGGGCTCGCCGCCGACATTCCTCAGGCTTGGGTCCAGGATCCGAGAACCTCCTTCTGTCTAGCGGTACCAGGACGAGGATAGTTCCGTGCCGGATCACTCCGGGAAGCTCCCACAGGGTTCCGGGACGATCTGAGGAGTCCGCGGCGCCCGAGACATCCTCCAGAGCCGCCGGATCTCAGAGATTCTCGATGATATTCGCCCGATGTCATCTTCGTCCTGAGGTCCTGGCTTCGTCTTGATCCGAAGCCCTCCTCCTGGCCCGGGGCGGGTGCGCCAGCGAGCCAGGATGACAGAGTGGTACATCCACGAGGCCCTCCCCACGGAGAAGGAGGAGGAGGAGGAGGGAGGAGGAGGAGGAGGGAGGGAGGAGGGAGGGAGGAGGAGGGAGGGAGGGAGGAGGGAGGAGGGAGGAGGGAGGAGGGAGGGAGGAGGGATGTAGGAGGGAGGGAGGGCGGCAGAGCCGAGGAGTTGCGTCCTGCGGCCGCGAGGCGCCCCGTGGCTCTGCTGCCTGGCCTGCGCCTGGCGGGGCGGAGGTCGGCGCAGGCCCCGGGCCCGCCGTGGCCAGGCAGGCCACTCTGGGCCCCCCTTCGTCCCTCCTGCTGCCTCGAGCCCCCTTTCTCCCCCCTCCTCCTCCCTCCCTCCCTCCTCCTCCTCCCTCCTCCCTCCCTCCCTCCTCCCTCCCTCCTCCCTCCCTCCTCCTCCCTCCCTCCTCCTCCTCCTCCCTCCTCCTCCTCCTCCTTCTCCGTGGGGACGGCCTCGGGGATGTACCACTCTGTCATCCCGGCTCGCTGGCGCACCCGCCCCGGGCCAGGAGGAGGGCTTCGGATCGAGACGAAGGCGGGACGAGGATAACATCGGGTGAATATCAATCGAGAATCTTTGAGATCTGGCGGCTCGGAAGGATGTCTCCGTCGCCGTGGACTTCTCAGAGCGTCTGCGTCGGGATCGGTCAAACTTCGGTTTCAGGCCGGCAGCCATGTCTGTCGGCGTGCCCTGCGCCGCCCTCCGTTGCAGGTGCTCCCTCCGGGCAAAGAGTCCGGGGGCTCCGGAGAGGCGTTGGCGTGTTGCTCCGCGGTGGCGCGCGGGCTGCACCTCCCGCCGCCGGCGAGGTCGGCCGTCGAGGCAGCCCCCAGGCCCGCGTGGGGGCTTGCCTCAAGTCGGGCATGTTTCTCCACAGGAGGACTGCTCGAGATAGTACAGAAATAGTCGAATGACAAAATTTGGTTCTCTTTGGAACATTTGTCAGCATGTTTTGCATCTGTTCTGCCTTTCTTCCGAAACCCGCATGTAGGAGGACATGCTCGACCTAAGGCTTGACCCTCGGATCTCAGGAGCGAAAGGTGGACGCACACGTACACAAATCCACATTCGTCTCGAGAGTCCGCCTGGCGCGAGCGTTCGCATCACGCGGCCGGTCACTCGGATTCGGGGACCGTGTTCCGGCGCAAATTCGCGGGTTCCCTCGGATCCTGGCGTTGCAGTTGTTGTCCAGCGGGTGGGTTCGCCCGGCCTCGGGCCCCGGGGCCCCCACAGATCGACCCAGCTCGAAAGGTGCTGCATCCACCCCGCAGAGCTCCAGCACAGCACGGGCGGGGACGGCCGCTGGAGGGCGGCGCCCCCCCTCCCTCGTCCCCCCCCATCCCCCAGACGGCGAGGAGGGGGAGGAGGATATGGAGGGAGGAGGGAGGGAGGAGGAGGGTAACGTCTGAGGGGAGGGGAAGATGGAGGAGGAGGAGGAGGAGGAGGAGGAGGAGGAGGAGGAGGAGGAGGAGGAGAAATACAAATGAAGGAAGAGGAGGAAGAGGAGGAGAAGGAGGAATGATAATGGAGGAGGAGGAGGAGGAGGAGGAGGAGGAGGAGGAGACGAAAACGGAAGGAGGAGGAAAGAAGGAGGAGGAGGGGGAGGAGAAGGAGGAGAAGAAGGAGGGACGGCAGCGTCCCCGGTGACCCCGATGCATGCAGTCAGCCGGTTAGGAGGGTGTGGAGGAGGTCGACGAGGAGGAGGAAGGGGAGCACAGTGGCCTTGCCTTTGAGTTCTGGGATCTTGCTCTCCTTTGAACACAGTGGGCGGGCATGAGAAGGACGAAGATGCAATATCCTTCCCTGCTCCAAAGGGCTCCGACCCGCCTCGCACACCCAGCATGCCGCGGCCGGCAGTCCCCAATGGGTCCCCCGTGCTCTCCCTGGGTCATCCCGCCTCGCGCCTGCGACAGAGGAAGACTGCATGCCGCGGCCGCCAGGCCCCACGGGGCTCGTTGTTCCCTGGGGATCCCGCCTCGCGCTCTGGGGTGGGGATCGCTCGAAGCAAACTCGCTGCTAACGGTATCGCTTTGTTGCGAAACCTCTTTACAGGAATGTTGATGGTTTTACAAGTATGTGCTATGTCAGTTCAAGGTTAGTCCAGTGTTGCGTATGGCAGCCACCATCGCAGTGTAAGAAGCATTTGGAGCTTTCAAAAATGTCGCAGGCGAGCTGCTGATATATGCGGCGGGCGCGAGAAAATGCAGTGGGGAGCAGGGTTGGACGCGAGTTCCTAGGAGCGGCATGTGGAGTTCCTCCAAGACGTTTGCAAACACAAGCCGCCCCATTTGCTTCAACAAGTCAAGAACTACGTTTTTCGAGGTGCCCCGGCCCTCCCCGATCCTCGGCAGGTTGCCTCGAAGGACAGCTGGGCCTCGAAGGGCTTCGGAAAGACCTCGGGGCCCTCGGGGGGGGGGACCCCGAGGCCCCAGCGCCGCCGCCCCCCGCCGAGCTGGACTTCCCCGACCCCGTCCCTGGAGGGCCGGTTGGCCCTTCATCCCAGGCTGCGTCCTGATTGTCCCAGGAGCCGGCATCCAGCGGCCGTCTCCCCATGCATTCTCTGTTCCGTGTTCTTGAGCCAGAGGCTCCGACCCTTTCCCCATGCAGGCCCCGCTCGAGCAGCGCGAGTCTCTTCGTGGCCGCTCCTCGGGGCCCGGCGGGTGGGGGACTCGGGGCGCTCTGGTGGGCAGCGCCCCCCCCCCCCCGCGGGCAGGTCGTGGACACCCTGTCGCGCCTCGTCTCCGAGTGCTACACCGCCCTGGACGCCCTCCCCGAGGCCTCGCTGGAGCCCGTCGCGCGCGCAGGCCCCGGCCCCGCGCAGTGCGCGCGCGGGGGCTCGCGCCCCGCCGGCGCGCGGGCGCCGCGGCTCGCCCCGGGGGCGCCCAGGCTCGGCTCTTCCCTGACAGGTTGAGCTCGGGCCTGTCCCCCCTACAGGGGGATTTTCGACGAAACATGAAAAAAATACCCCCAAAATGCCCCAGAAAGGTCCAAGCATATTCAAAGAATGGTCCCCAGACTATTTTTGGACTATGTTTGGATTATTTTTGGGTATTTCTGATTTTTCGTCGAAGATCCCCCTTGTAGGGGGACAGGCCCGACTTAATGACAGGTTTTTGTTGATCCCCTGGCGATGGCGGGCGTGGCCTGGTGGTGGAGGAGGAGGCGGCGGCCGGTCACGTCGCCATTCGAGCCGGCGCCGTTTGGGATCGCCTGGGGAGTTTGTTCACTCATGCCCAGAGACGGCGCCGGCGCGACTCGTGACGTGACCAGGGGGGGGAGGGGTTGGGAGACGGTGCCAGTCGCGGGCGTCATGGCGGAGATTCCGATCCAGATCCCCGGCGATCTATCTATTTGTCTCCAGTTTTTTAACAAACAAAAATCAGGAGGGGAAAAACACAGACACAATTAATCGTCGATTCCCTAGAAAATATGGGAAACTATGGGGAATCCTGTTATTTGTGTTTATTTATGTGTGTGTCCCAGGGCCCTTTCAAATCTTTTTCTGCAGAGGTCAGTAGTAATCGGGCCCCTGAACTGGCAGAAACATAATCGGGGCGAAACATTGGCCCTGGCGGAACAGGTGTCGGGAGGTCTGAGGCCAGGGGCTCAAAGAGACACATCCCTCCCGCTGCACAGAACGATCCCGACGGGGTGCTTCTGCTGCCCGTTATCGGCCTCTGGGGGCCCTCGCCAGGACCCGCGTCCGTCGAGGAACTGACTCGGGATCCAGAGCCGGTCCCGGGGAGTAGGCCGAGACCTCCACAGGATCACGTTGTGACACACATCGCTAACCTGTGTTAGCCGCTGGTCCCTCACGATCGCGTCGCGAGCCAGGGCCGACCACGAAGATGCTCCCAAACAGCTGGTCAGCAGACGATGGTCACGCGCAAAGACTTTGGTCCCAAACAGTTGGTCAGCAGACGACGGTCACGCGCCTTCTAAGAAGCAAGAGTGCCTCTAAGAAGCCTTCCCGTCTTTCCCTACCCCACGTTGCGGCAAAGTGGGGTAGGGAGAGAAGGGAGGGTTTCTCAGAGGCACCCTTGCTTCTTAGAAGGCGCGGGCCTTCTCTGTAGATGAAGGGTCGGCACCTTCTAAGAAGCAGCCTGCTCGTGAGAAGCCTCCCCCCTCCCCCTACCCCTTCGTGCGCGACGCCAAAGACGGCGGAGAAGGGGGGAAGGTCGGCTCCAAGTGGCTTCCGAACCCAGGTCTGCCAAATGGGATCACAGGGCATTGGCTGACCCTGTCACCTGCGCCCCGAGCCTTCTCCTCAGGTGCGGGCAATATTTATATCCATCTGCAGTGCGTCTCTGAAGTTCTTGGAAGGGGCGCCTCGTGTTGGTTCCTGAGGAAGGGAGCCTGAAACTCCAAGCCGCAGTTGGTATGGACAGCAGTCTTGCCCGCATCTGAGGGAGGGGGAGGAGGGCACGTCGGCCTTTGGGGGCCTCGGAAGCTTCCGGAGACGGCGTCATCCACCGCCTTCGCTTCCGCGTCTTTCCTCCGTGCCCCTCCCAGCAGCTCTCGCAGGCGTGCGGGCCCTCTGCGAGAGGCGAGCGGTCCCGCGCTGGCGCCCCCATGCGCCGGCCCACTTCTGCACCGACCTCGGCCAGCCCGAGCTTGCACCCAGGCTCGCTGTAGCTGTTCGTTGAGGTCCAGGCGTGGCAGTTGTTTCACGCCGCGCGTTTTCCGGTGTCGGGCCCGGGGACATCCTGGGACCATCACGGATCGATCCGGCTCGAAGGATGGGACCGACAGATGAGTTCGGGGGCTCTGGTTTTTGATTCATCAGAAAGAGCGTGTTCTACCGCTGCTGGCGGAAAACCGGGGGGGGTCACTACCGGTTCGAACCCCCCCCTCCGGAAAACCGAGGGGGGGGTCACTACCTGTTCGAACCCCTACCCCCCCCCCCCCAGTTCATCATGAAAAGGGGGGGGGGTCACTACCGGTTCGAACCCCCCCCCCCCCGTCGATTTCGAAAACCTTGGGGGGGTCACTACCGGTTCGAAGCCCCACCCCCCCCCTCGAAAACCGAGGGGGGGTGCGGACAGTGGTGCAATGGGGACGGTGGTTGCGGGGACAGTGGTGAGGGGACAGCGGGACAGTGGTGGGGACAGTGGGACAGTGGTGGGGACGGTAGTGGTGGGGACAATGGTGAGGACAATGGTGGGAACAGTGGGGACAATGGGACAGTGGTGGGGACGGAAGTGGTGGGGACAGTGGTGTGGGGACAGTGGGAATGTGGTGGAAACAGTAGGACAGTGGAGGGTACAGTGGTGGTGGGGACAGTGGTGAAGGCGGTGGCGAGGACGGCGGTGGGACAATGGGACAGAGGTGCAGTGGGGACAGTGGCGGGGACAGTGGGGACACTGGTGGGAACAGCGGGACAGCTCAGTGGGACAGCGGAGGAGTCAGTGGGGACAGTGGGGATAGTCGGGCAGTGGTTGGGGCCGTGGAGAAAGTTGGGAGAGTGGAGCCGTGGTGGGAACAGTGGTGGGGACAGTGGGGACAGTGCGACAGTGGTGGTGGCACTGGTGGGGACAGTAGGGGCGGTGGTGGAACCAGTGGGGACAGTGGTGGTGAGGACAGTGGTGCTGGGAACAACAGTGGGGGATGTGGTGAGGACGGTGGTAGGGACCGGGAGTCGTTTGCTGGCGGTGAGAGGGGGGGTGGGGAGGGGTTCGAACCGGTAGTGACCCCACCCTCCGGTTTTCGAGGGGGGGGGGGGGGGGGGTTCGAACCGGTAGTGACCCCCCCCGGTTTTCGAGGGGGAGGGGGGGGGGGTGGGGAGGGGAGGGGGGGGGGTTGCCGGGGGAGGGGGGGGGGGGGGTCCAGCAGGGGGAGTGGATTTTCGGAGAGGGGGGGGGGGACCCCCGTGTTCCGGAGGAAAGGGCGGCAATTTTCCACAGTAGAGCGGCGGTGGATCACGCTCTCTCGTTTATCACCATGTCGTATATTTTCCTGGGCCACATGAGGGCAGGAGGAGGGCGTATGCACCGTTCCTGGGCCAAGGATTGGCCAGGCCAGTCTCGGTATGAGTGTATAGTTGGCGCTCCCCCTAGAAACCCGACGTCATGATTTTTTCATAACGTCAACTCCCAGAGGTCTGGACTCATTCCCCGGGATCATCCTGAGTCGTGTGTTGACGGCCCCGAGGCCTGGCAAGGGCCCCCAGAGGACGAACACAGCGAAACATCTGCCGTCGCTATTCTTCCCGACTCGAGGGGGTCTGGCTCCTGCCAGTTGGGTCAGGGCCGCTGCTCGGCGCCGGGGCCTGGGAGCGCTGGCAGCGGGGCGGCCAGCTTCTCCCCGCCATGTGGCAGGGCTGGCGGGCCCTTCTCGCCTGCGCGTGCGCCTGCGCTTCCGCCGCTGGCTTGCCCGGTGTCGCCCCGGCGCCCCGCTGCAGCGCCGCCACGGACGGCTCCCTGACAGTCAGCTGGGCCGACAGCGCGGAGTTCGGGCTCTTGCAGGGCACCAGCTTTCAGTCGGACATGTCCCTCTGCAGGGAGGATCTTCAAAAATAGTTCAAAAGATAGTCAGGGGACGACTGTTCGAAGATTATCGACTAATTTTGGGAATGTGTTGACTATGTTATTTGTCCTTCAAAACCCGCCTGTAGGAGGACATGCCCGACCTAACACCAACTGCACTCAGAGGAGGAAAAGGTACCCATATTGCTAAATTTCCGTCGTCTTCCCCTTTCTTGGTCTCCAATTTGGAGGGTGAAAGAGGGGGTCTGCAACAGGGGGTCTTCAATGGAGGCTGACTGGCCAATGTATGCTCAATGTATCGCTCATGTATGTGATCGGGAACGATTGGCATCCAATGTTGGCGGTCATGGAGGGCCAGTCGTTCGTGCCAGCGCGTTGCCCGCGCGGGCACACGCGCCGTCCATCCATTATCGTTCATGTGTGCGGGCGTGTTCTTGCATATTGCGCGTGGGGCTGCGAAGTGGAGTGCAAGTGTGTCTTGACTGTGCGATTGATGATCGCGTATTTTCCCAAACGAGGAGTTATCGACCCCCAACACAGATTTGGAATGGGTCCCGCGATTTTCCCAAAATGTGAATTCACATTTTCCTTTTCCCAAAAAGTGAATTCACATATTCCTTTCCCCAGAATGTGAATTCACAGCCTGGCCCCTTCATGAAGATTCCTACACCAAATTCCAGATGCGAGTTCACATGTTCCTTCTTCGCAAAATGTGAATTCACATTTTCCTTGTTCCCAAAATCTGAATTCACAGATCGCTTTTCCCCACAATGTGAACTCACGTGTTGCCCTGGCCTTCAAGATCCTCAAAATTGAGGCCCAGTGTTCCGCATGGCAGATTGGCTGGGCAGATTTTGACACTCACCTCACCGCTTTTGTTTATTTCAACATTTTCTTTTTGCGCACTCAGCGCACGTTGCATTCGTCGCCTTTCCCGAGCCCCCCGCCCCTTTGCTTCGTTCCCCTTAAAGTCTCGCGCATGGGTGCAGGCGGGGAGCTTCACTTGACACCCCCGCCGAACACAGCAATCGAGGATGTATCGCCTATTCATGGCCCATAAAGACACCATTGCCAGGACCCTGCGCCCGACCCCCATTTTCACCCTCCAACCTATAGGGGGCCCTCGTTGCCACCGCTGGACTTGCCTTGATTTTCTTGGCCGAAGTCACCCCGGGAGAGGTCCAGGGAGCAGCGGTATCCGTACTTCTTGGTTTCCCCACTCGAAGGGCACTGACTGTACACTCGGGAAGACGTAAGACCCAAGTACGCCGGAGCTCGGGTTTGCCGACGCTTTTTGACGAGCGCGTCCTGGATTTTGACGGTCAAGTTTTCGTGGGATGTTTGCAGCGGGAGCTCGTGCCAAATTTTAGAGTGGGTCTCGTCATTTTTTCGTGAGTGCCCCGTCAGGCCAACCCGAGAACCCGAGTCCTACGTCCCTCCAGTGCACACCCAGACATGAGACGTTTTGATTTTTTCAGCACGGGGTCCCTGGAAGTCCCGACCCTTTCCCCAGGACGGGTTTCTCATCCTGAGTTGTTTTTTGCACTCCCGAGGCCCGGCGAGGGCCCCCCGAGGCCGAAAATGGCCGAAAACCTCACGTCCGGATTTTTTTACGACGCGAGCATGTCTGGGCCTGTGAACCGACCCTGGTCAGGGCGATCCTGGGCCCACGCGGGATCCTTGTGCCCGCCTTCCTGCCCCAGGCCGGAAGGGCAGGGGTGCAACTAAATTGTGTTGTAGCGATTTCGTAGGCCGTTCTCGTTCCGATGTCGTTTTGCGATATAAAGGCGGATCGTAGACCAAACGAGGGGAAACGAAAACAACACGAAAAACACCGTTTAGGCTGAGCCTTGCGGGAGGAGGGCGCGCATCCACCCCTCCTGGGCCCGGGCGGAGCCTGGCCAGGGTCGGCGCGTAGAGGGAGCCTCGGCGGCGAGCGAGGGGGGGTAAGCGAGAGAGAGGGGGGCGGGCCTCCTCCGGGAGGCGCGGAAAGACCACGCGCCGTTTAGCTCGAGCGAGGCGGCGAGCGAAGGGGGGGGAAGGAGGTTTCGGGCTCGAGGCTCGAGGCAGGGCTCGAGCTGCATAATGATTGCCGTTTTCGTTTTGTGTTCGCTTTCCTTCGCTCTCTCTTCGTCCTGCGAAGCGGAATCAAAACGAAGACGGCCAACGAAATCGCCAAAATACCGTTCAGCTCGAGCCCTGGTTCGAGGTTCTCGGACGTCTTCGTCGTTTCTCAAAGGTGTTCTCCAGCCTCGGGATGCGTTCCAGCGGCTGCGCCTCGCCCGGGGCGTTCCGGGGGTGCCTGGATCGTCCCGAACGGCCGCCGGAGACCAAAGTTATGACTCGAAAGCTGAGGTCGTCGGTGCGCCCGGGGGGGGAAGCGCGAAGTGGCGGGCCCACTCAGAAGGCTTGGAAGTCCCCCGGCCTTCTGAGAAGTTTTCGTCGAAGCCTTCCCGGAAGGCACGAAGAACGACTTCTCAGGAGGCGCGAGGGCCTCTGAGAAGTCCCGCCGCCTTCTGAGAAGGCCTGGGCCGTTCTCATTTCCCACCCCCTCGCTCGCTCGCCGCCGCGAGCTGGCGCCCGCCCAGGCTCTACTACGTGCAGCTGGGCCGCGGCGGGGGCCGCGGCGCCGACAAGCCCTTTGCCCTCGAGGCCCGACGGAAGGAAGGGGGCGTGAGCAACAGCTTCCGAGGTTCTCGCGGACTTCTCGGATCGGCGCTGGCACTCTCCGGCGGCGCCTCCGCGCGCCAGGGAGGGGGGGGGGGGGCCCAGCGCCGGGCCGAGGAGTCGGCGAAAAACCTCCAGAGCCTGGCGCGCAGTCGCGCCGCCTCTTCTTCCTCGGCTAGACGGCGCGCACCAGCCCCGTGGTGTTCTCCGGGCTGGCGCCCGCCACCAGCTACCAGGTGAGCGGCGCGGAACCACGGGGTCGTCTGCACCGACGCTCGCGCGCAAGCTGCCCGCGTGCAGCCAAGAGACGCCGAAGCAGGGGCCACTCTGGGCTCAGCAGGGGCCCTGTTTTTCGGGCCGCCCAGGCCGGGGAACAGGTTCGTGGCCGAAGCTTGCCGCGGTCAGGAAAGCCGCCCCTCCGTTCCTTCCTCTGCGTTCCTGGTGTTCGCACGCCGACCGCGTGCCGCGCCGGTGGCCCGCGGAAGCCGCGGCGTGAGGATGCCAAGCCGTCTCGCGCAAGACCCGTTCCCAGACAGGCGGCGTCCTGATTTTTTCAAGGCGGGGTCCCTGGAGGTCCCGACTCTTGCCCCAGGACCCGTTCTTCGTCCCGAGTCGTTCTCTGACGGCCCCGCGGCCCGGCGAGGGCCCCGCGGGGCCGAAGTTAGCCAAAAACCGCAGTTGCTGCAGTATTTGCGACGCACTTACGTCTGGGCTCCTGCTCGTCGCTCAGGTGGCTCTGCGGGCGCTGCCCGTCAGGGCTCCGTCCGGGTCGTGGGGCCCCGCCTGGCTGCGCTCCGCGGCCGCGGTGCAGTGCAACACCACCGCCAGGAGCGCCGCGCGCCCGCGGGCGCCCGAGGGCGCCGGTGGCGATGGGCAAAGTTTCCATCACCAACGCCAGATGTAGGACGGGGGAGAAGGGAGGATGAGGAGGTCCTCCTCCTCCTCCTCCTCCTCCTCCTCTTCCTCCTCCTCCTCCTCCTCCTCCTCCTCCTCCTCCTCCTCCTCCTCCAGGGCTAATCAAAAACGGAAGGCCGAGACGGTGGGGAAAGGTATCATCCCCAAGACGGGGGCACCGTTGCCCCCAGTGGCCTGAATTCGTTCAGCTTCATTCCTGAGGCCTCGCCTCCCCCGTCCGCCATAAGTGGCTAGGAGTTTCGTGTGTTCCAGGGTGTTCCGGTTTTTCGGAGAACCTTTGCAGGCAGCTTGCCTCCTCCTCCTCCTCCTGCCTCTCCTGCCTATGGTAGTCGTGGTGGAACATGGGCCCATCAGGCGGCGTGGCCGGCACGCGCTTCATGCGGGTCTACCGGCTCTCCGAGTACTCCTTCGACGTGGACTTCCTGGAGAATCACAACGGCGCGTCCGCGGACGCGATGCCGCTGTACCTGATGACCTGCGACCCCACGGGCGACTGCAACCCCTGGGATGCCAGGGAGCAGTCGCCGAGGTGGGACGCGTGCCACAGCGCCATCCAGGCCCTGTGCCCTGCCTCTCGTGGCGCAGCGTTCAACTGCATGATGTGCGCCGAAGGCCACCGGGATGAGCTGACCGCCGCATGCGGGAACTGGACCTCCGCCGACTCCATGGAGGGCGCGGGCTCTTTTGCGATCCACTGGTGGTGCGGCGTGGGGTGGCCCGAGACGGCAACAAAGCAGGGGCCCGTCACTGAGTACTGCGTGGAGTACCAGCCGCTGGAGGGGCCGACACGCATGGGCGACGGCTTCTCCGACTACCTGTCGTGCAACTCGGACGAGGTGGACCGGTGAGGCGTCGGGTTGCGCACGGGGCGGCCTCAACATCTCGACCCTGGGGCGCTCGGCGCCCCAGGGGCGTTGTTGGAGGTGGCAGCCAGGGTGCTGAGACCAGCCAGGGCTGCCTGGGGGGGGGGGGGCTGTGGAGGCCCGCCAGGGCTGCCTGGGGGGGGGGCTGTCTGCGCGCCGCCCGCAGCCTCGCCCGAGGTGGACGGCACGCTGGGCAACGACCCCCGGGACCCGAGCTGCATATGCATCGTCTGGGACGACCGCCTGCTCGCCCACCAGACCAACGCCAGCTGGCTCGGGCAGGACTGCGGCGTCGGGCACATCTCTCGGAGGGCACCAGCTGTGCACCTGCACCTCGGCTGCAGGTAAGAGCGAGCCTTCGCCGGAGGGACCTCTGGTGCGGGCTCACCGGGGTCCCTCCGATCGCCACGTGCGATGCGATAGCAGCTGATTGCGCGCTTTGCTTTTGCCACCTTGCGCCCCCCTTGGTCCGCGCACCACAGGTCACTGCTGCCTAGGGGCACTCTTGCGTGTAGCCGAGGACCGAGCTTGGCCAGGCCATCCGTGGGCCTCAGAGCCGTGCGGGTGCCTTCCTGCCCAAGGCCGGCTGGGCGTGTGCACCGATCTTGGGCCCAGGGTCGGCATCGCTAAGGAGGGTGCAGGTGCACACGGCGAGGGCATCGAAGACCCCCATCGGAACTTTTCCGAGAAGGCGTCAACCTTCGTGGACTTCAGAGTTCGGGAGAGAGAGAATCAAGAATCTGGACTGGTCCCTGGGCGTTTTCTTGGAGCGTCCTTCTGCATAGAGTGTTATCGTCAATCTGGCCCTGGACTACTCGTTAAGAAAACGCTTCGAGTCAAGTCCATCGTTGAACAACTTAATTCTGAGCTTAGCCTGCAAGTTTCTGAACTCTGAGCAATATTGTAAGGAACCATTGGATCTGGACACCAGGTTCTGGAAGCTGGTGTGGAGCTTCAATGGTATGGTGGATTGAAGATGGACATCACCGCCACCCTCCTCAGTTCGACTAGACGTAAGAGTGCCCTTTCGCTGGAGTGACCTTTGGTGCGGGCCCAATGGGCAATGGGGCCCCCCGACCGCTGAACGTGAAACGGTAGCAGCGACTTGCGCATCCAGTTGTGCTTCCCCGCGTCCCCCGTTCAGCCGCGCAACAAAGGTCACTCTTGCTTACGGTCACTCTTGCGTGTAGCCGAATTAGACAAGGAGGCTTCAGGGTCTGAAGCTTCCTGGGCACGTTCCTTAACCAACGGCTCCACCGTGCCCAGACATCTTATGTCTTGATTTGATCAACGCGGGGCCCCCAGGAGTCCCGACCCTTTCCCCAGGGCCAGTTTTTCACCCCGAGTCGCTTATTGACGATCCGGGAGCCCAGCGAGGACCTCCATGAGGCCGAAAAAGGCGAGCAAGTTTCCGTCTTGTCTTTTTCAGCACGTTGGACCTGCACATTTTGTCATCGCGTCGGCCCCCAGAGGCCTTGACCCACTCCCGGAGACCGCTCTTCATCCTGAGCCATTTCTGTGGACGGCCCCGAGGCCCGGCGAGAGGGCCGCCAGAGGCCGAGCATGGCGAACCAATCATCCCGTCGCGCCTTTCTCGTGACGCGAGGGGGTATGGGGCCGTAGCCGTCGTCCTCCCAACGTCGGCGGCGAGCGAGGTTTCCGGACGAGGTTTTCGGTGAGCTCGAGCGCTGGTTCGAGGTTCTCGGACGTGTTCGTCGTTCCTCGGCGGTGTTTTCAAGCCTCGGGATGCGTTCCAGCGGCTGCGCCTCGCTAAGGGCGTTCCGGGGGTGCCTGGATCGTCCCGAATGGCCGCCGGAGATCCAATGTATGACTCGAAAGTTGAGGTCGTCGGTGCGCCCGGGGGGGGGAAGTGCGAAGTGGCGGGCCTTCTCAGGAGGCCTGGAAGTCCCCCGGCCTTCTGAGAAGTTTTCGTCGAAGCCTTCCCGGAAGGCACGAAGACACGAAAAACAATTTCTCGGGAGGTGCCGAGGGCCTCTGAGAAGTCCCGCCGACTTCTGAGAAGGCCTGGGCCCTTCTCGCTTCCACCACCTCGCTCGCCGCCGCCGCCGCGAGCTGGCGCCAGCTTTCTCAGGAAACGGCGGAAATTCTCCGAAGCACTCGCGCCTCCTGCGAGATTTGCTGCGTCTTCGGGGAGACCTCGAACATTTTCAGAAGGCCCGGGAACTTCTGAGCCTTCTGAGAAGGCCCGCCTTATCTCGCTCCCCACCCGGGCGCACCGACGACCTCAGTTGCCGAGTCATAAATTGCATCTCCGGCGGACGGCCGGGACGGTCCAGGCACCCCCGGAAGGCCCTCGGCGAGGCGCAGCCGCTGGAACGCATCCCGAGGCCTGAAAACCGCCGAGGAACGACAAACGCTTCCGAAAGCCTCGAACCAGGGCTCGAGCTAAACAATATTTTGGCAATTTCGTTGGCCGTTTTCGTTTTGATTCCGCTTCGCAGTACGAAGACGGAGCGAAGGAAAGCGAACACAGAACGAACACGGCAATCATTATTTAGCTCGAGCCCTGCCTCGAACCTCGAGCCCGAAACCTTCTTCCCCCCTCCCCGCGCTCGCCGCCTCGTCGGGGGCCGCAGCTGCCGCTCTCCGAGCACATGGGCTGGCTCGGCGAGACGGTGTGCAACTGCACCGGCCAGGTGCCGAGGTCTTGGCGGCGCGCACAAGTGGGTGGGGGGACTTGGCATCGCTCGGACGTGTGCATTTTCCTTCGGCGAGGACAATCGAGGAGCATCCTTGATCATTTGGCCAAAAAACCACACACACACAAACGAAAAAAAGCAGAGGGAATGGACGTCCGAGCGATGGCGAGGGGAGGGGGGACGGCTTCTCAGACGGGGGCTGCTTCTTAGAAGGCGCGGGCCGTACATCCACAGACAAGGCCCGCCGCTTCTGAGGAGCAGGGGGGGCTTCTGAGAAGCTCCCCCCCCTCCCCCATACCCCCACCCCTCGCCGCGCGTGGCTGGAGGTCCCCGCTGCCCGCGGGCGGCAGCCCGTCCCGGAGCCACGTGGGGCGCGCCCCCGTGTGGCTGCCCTACGTCGGGGTGGAGATGGCGCTCGGGGGAAGAAGACGCTCGAAGAGCCACAAGACTCGGGCGGTCGCAGACATGGATCGAGGGGGCGTGGATCAGCCACGGGTCCCGCTGTTGTGGGAAAACTAGGATCTCCGCCGCCGAGCGAGGCGGCACCGGCCGCATTCTGAGGAGGGCGCCTTCCCCGATCCGTGGATTCGGCGACCGCGCCGCCAAATCCATGGATCGCTCGTCTATGTTTGACCGCCCCCGGAAGAAGAAGTTCGAAGAACCAAATGACGGCATAAACATAAGCTTTCGACGGTCCGCTCGCGGATGTCTTGGATCCGCGCGGGGCCCCCTGTCGGCGCTCCGCGCGCCAGGGAGGGGGTCCCAGCGCGGATCCAAGAAATCCGCGAGCGGACCGTCGAAAGTTTTCGCTGATGCCATCGTTTGTTCTTGTAGACCAGACGCGCTCGCGTCGTCAAGAAAAATCAGGACGCGAGGTTTTTGACCTTAAAGTTTTCGGCCTCGGGGTGCCCTCGCCGGGCTTCGGGGCCGACAAACAAGGGCTCAGGACGGAAAGCTGGCCCCTGGGAGAGGGTCGGGACTTCCAGGGACCCCGCATTGAAAGAATCTGGGCGTCGCATGTCTGGCACTGGGAGGGTGACCTGTCGCTGGAGTGACCTGTGGTGCGGGCCCACTGGGGCCTCCCGATCGCCGCGTGCGGTGCGACAGTAGCGTCTTGCGCGCTGGTGGTGGGTCCCCCCGCGACCCACAGACGGCTGCGCACCAAAGCTCAGTCTTACCCAGGGTCACCTCTTGCGTGTGAGCCGAAGTTTGCAGAGGGAAGTCGCAGACGATTTTTCTCCCCCAGTCCCCTGGTTCCTCCTGCAAGATTTCTGGCCGTTCAGAAAAGCGGGCGATCTCTGTGATACACCTCCAGGGGTGCTATTCAGACGCACACCCATCGAGGATGGGCGCCCCCCCTTGTATATCCTAGGGTTGTGCCCAAAATTTCAGTTTCAGTCGAAACCCCCCAAAGTCGGCGATTGGGGTCGCCATGTCCCTTTGTTAAGCAAGTTTCCGTCGCGTGCATGCGGCTCGTTCGTTTTTATTTCGGGCTACGGTTTGGTGCATGAGTTTGCCGATCGCAGGTCGGCTTGTGTGGCATTCCTGGTGTTCCCAGTTTGCCTGGCGACCTTTCGATTCGCACAGCGGTCGAGGCGGAATCAGGTGAATCTCTTTTGTCGCGCTCCCTCCTCCTCCGCCTCATTCTCCTCCCCAGGGAAATCGAAGAAGAACAAATGGCGTACACTTTCGACGGTCCGTGCGGATTTCTTGGATCGGTGCTGGACCCCTCTCCCTGGCGCGCGGAGCGCGACAGGGGCGGCGCCGGAGGCGCCGCCAGGCGTGTCCAGCGCAGCTCCAATGAATCTGCGCGCGTCGTCGAAAGTTTGAGTTTACGCATTTCTTTTGGGGGGGGGCGTGGACAGAACACTCACCCTGACACGTCGATTAGTGAATTGTCCAGTCTCGGTTCTCGAGAGGGTGCCGCGGCCGTCAGGTTTGGGCCCGAGGGCGTTTTCACTAAACCACGTTTTGCTAAAGGGGGTTCTGTCCATACCTGATTTTATGAAAATGACGGCAGGACTTGTAAAGCTTGGCATGTCGCGCCGCTGGGTCTGTCCACACCAAGCCTCGTCGCGGCACGCTAACCACGTCGCGGTCCGCGAGCGTCCATGTCCAGAGTTTTTCCGTGCCTCCCGCCCCGCGGAGCGGAGCGAAACGCTACATCTATATATATATATATATATATACACATTGGTTTGTGTGAATATATACATATGTATACACATATGTATATCTATATGTATAAGAATATATATATATATATATGTATATATTCATATATATATACATGTATATATGTGTATATATATATATGTATGTATGTATATATATATATATCCGATTGCAAAGCATCGTGCGTCGACGAGGCCGCCGCCGCGACACGCTCAGCAAAAGCTCTTGACAGATACCGCTGCTCGCCCTGGAGAGCCCTCGTCGCCACGGCTGGATTCACTTCGAAATCCCCGTCGGAATGCGCCCCCGGAGAGGTCCGGGGAGAACGACTCTTCGCCGGAGTGACTCTTGCGCGGAGTGAGCGTGACCTTTGGTGCGGGCTCATCTGGGTCCCCCCGATCGCTGAGCGTGATGCGACAACGGCTGCTTGCACGCCTGGATTTGGCCACCTTGCGTCCCTTGGGTCCGCGCGCGTAGCCCAGCATATATATATATATATATATATATATGCCTCCCAGCCAGCAGAAGTCTCCGAAGGGTCGCGCGGACTTGCCACCGCCCTTTGCTCTGGCGGCGCGACGGGGGTCCAGAGCCGACCCTGGAAATCCGCGCGGACCTCCGAGAGCTCATGCCGGCGCAGATGCTTCGTCTCCTCCAGGCGCCCTGGGTCCCCGGGGCAGTGCAGTTCCCCTCTGGCTACAACTACCACTTCCCGCGGGAGGGCGCATGCGGAGAGGGCGAGAGCGTCGGGACCAACGGGTGCACGTGGCGGCGCCTGCCGCGGGCGCGCATGGTCTACGGGGACGACCTGATCCTCCACGGCTGGGACACGGCATTCGTCCCCGACACGGCGGAGAACCAGACGCACACGAGGACCGAAGCAGCATCAACAGCGTGAGCATGATTTGTCGGAGGTCCGCGCGGATTTCCTGGATCGGCGCGGGGCAACCACTGGCACCACCTCTGGCGCCAGCGCCGATCCAGGGAATCTGCGCGGACCTCCGGAAGTTCATGCTCACGATTTTGCTTGGGCGCCGCGTAATAGGGGGCGACAAATGGGGGGGCAGCGAGGGCTGTAGAGAAGGGTCCCTTTAGGGCCCCTGAAGTCGCCCTCCAGGGCCCAGAAGGGGGCCTCGAGGGCCCCGAAAAGTGCACCCTCCTTCCCCTCCATTCATCGCACCGCCACTAGGCGACGCCCACTGTGTTGCTCTTCTCGTGGAGGAGGAACGCCGAGGTTTTCAAGACGGCGTTCGAGGGGCTGGACGCGTTCGTGCAGCCGGACCCCTGCGGCCCTATTCCGGCTGGCCCGCCGGGCCCCTTGAGAGTAATCGTCTGAGGGGGTCCCCGCGCGGCGCACGGGGCCCTGCGGGCGACAGCGGACGGCCGTTGGGAAAAGTCGGAGACGTGTGCATTTGTTGTTTTTTTTTCTCTCTCTCTCTCTCTCTTTATGTTTGTTCTCTCTCTCTCTCTCTCTCTCTCCGTATGTCCATATCAGGCAAATATATTTATATCTATAAATATGTCGCCAGTCGCAGTATGTGTCTGCGTGTATGCATCCACTTATGCATATATACATGTATGCGCATGTGTACACTGTCTATATATATATATATAGGTATGCATTTAGATATGGACACGTTTATATTTACACGTAAACGCGACTTCTGGAGCTAGACCTAGAGTCGGACCTAGAGCCAGAGTTGAGGGGTAAGAGAGAGAAATAAAGGGAGAGAGAGAGAGAGAGAGCGAGAAATAGAGCGAGAACGAGAGAAAACAAATATCGAAACACGAGTCTGGCGCGACCAAAACCAAGGAACCATGGAACCAAGATGCAGGAACCAAGGAACCAAGGCCAAGGAACCAGGTCCAAGGGACCACCGCAACAAGATTTAGGAACCAGGGGCCAAAACCAACGAACCTGGGGAACGCCCCGTAAGGAAGTGAGTCCAAGGAGCCCGTGTCAAGGCCTTTGTAAGGCAGCAAGGCCGAGGGGCCCCGGGGACGTCTGGCGCCACCTGATGGCCGAACCCACCAGTCCTCCAAGCACAGATCTGGATGCCCAAGGGAAACTTCAACTGGGGAAAAGGAGAACAGCAGAGCCAGCCGCCTGCGGCCGACACGCCGCGCCCGTGCCAGCGCAGCAGTGCGGCGCAGAGGCAGCGCCGTTCCGGCCTGAGCCAGCACTGGAGGCCTTGGCAGGCTGCGCCTCTGTGCACATCGCGCGCACGGGCTTCGCAGCAGTGGAAGGGCGCGGCCGCGCCAGCGACGGCTGCCAGCTTGTTTCTCGCGCACAAGCTGGGACTGCCCCGAGGTCGAGCTTTGTGTGTGTACCTTCCTCCTCCTCCTTCCTCCTCCTTCTCATCCTTCCTCCTCCTCATCCTTCCTCCTCCTTCCTCCTCCTCCTCCTGCTCCTCCTCCTCCTCCTCCTCCTCCTTCCCCTCCTCCTCCCCCCTGCTCACGTGCACGCCGTCCCCGCCCCGCCGCCCCCCCAACCCAAGCGGAGCTGGTGGAGAGCACCTTCGGCATGCTGGGGGTGGAGGGCCTGCTGACGGTGCCCGAGCAGGAGGAGGCCGGCCGTGCCCCCGCGCACGCCCCCGGGGGTGGGGGGAGCGTACGCGCCGCGGGCACGGCGCGGTTGAGCGGCAGCAGGCGCAGCAGGCAGCTCGTCCTCGTCTTCGTCCTCCCGCTCGTCCTCCTTAACGTCACCGAGTCATCCTCGCACCGCTGGTTTCGGCCTCTTCGCGCCTCGGCCGCTCAGGGACCCCTTTTTTCCCCGATCTGCGGCGATCAACATACTCTGTGTACGACAGGCTGCACGCAACGCGAGTCCCGTCCCCTCGGATCGTGAACGATCGATGCGATTGTGCGATGCTCAGCTTGAGCCAAGCCGACAGCTTGGCGCCCAGCAGATCAGACTGAGACCACACACAAGGCCGAGTCGTCCCCCTCGTCCCCCTCGTCCTCGGCTTCGTCCTCCCCCTCGTCATCCTCTTCGTCCTCCTCGTCCTCCCTCTCGTCCCCCTCCTCGTCCCCCTCGTCCTCCCTTTTGTCCTCCTCGTCATCCTCCTCGCTCGTCCTCCTCGTCCTCCTCGTCCTCGTCTCTGCCCTCCCTCTCCTCCTCCTCCTCGTCCCCCTCGTCCTCCCCCTCGTCCTCCCCCTCGTCCTCCCCCTCGTCCTCCTCGTCCTCCTCGCCCCCCGCGTCCTCGGCCTCGTCCTCCTCCTCGCCCACCCCCCCCCCTGGGAGGGAGGGGCCCTGGCCGCGCCGACGGACAGAGGGCCGCGCCCTGCGGAGCGGAGGCCCTCTCCGAGGCGTGGCGCGGCCGGCCAGGCGCTCGCGGTGCTTCCTCGAAAGGGCGCCCTCGAGGGCGCGAAGTCCTTCGCACTTCGCAGGGCGCCCTCGAGGGCGCCCTTCGCAGTCCCCTCGAAAGGGCGCCCTCGAGGGCGCGGAGTCCTTCGCACTTCGCAGGGCGCCCTCGAGGGCGTCCTTCGCAGTCCCCTCGAAAGGGCGCCCTCGAGGGCGCGAAGTCCTTCGCACGTCGCAGTTCGCCTCTGGTGCCTCTTCGTCCTCCTCTTCTCCCCTGGGTGGCGCCCTCGAGGGCGCGAAGCCCTTCGCACTTCGCAGTTCGGCTCCGGTGCCTCTTCGTGCTCCTCTTCTCCCCTGGGTGGCGGCGCGAGGGCGCGAAGGGATTCGCGCGGAGCGCTTGAAGCAGCGCGGAGCGCGAAGTCGGGCGCCCTTTTGCCTCGTCTCACGTCGAGTGTCTGCGTGGGGGCTCTCCCGTCGAAGGCAGGTATGTGTAACGTGCTCGCCTCCCCCCTCCAGCTCAGAGAAGGGAAACGGTACCGATATCTCTACCCTTCCCTCGCTCACGCCTCTTTGGGGCCTCCTGGGAGGCCCTCGTCGCCACCGCTGGATTCGCCCTGAAATTCTGGTAGAACGCACCCTGGCAGAGTTCCATGAAGTACAGTCGTGCTGCTGAAATTTGGAACGGTAAATAAGAAGCGACGCCCCCTCTTGGCCCCAGAAGCGCCAGCGTGCACGAGGAGGGCTGGAGGAACAGCAACAGGATGACCCAAGGAACCTCGAGCCCACTCCGTACCCAAACTGCTCTTCATTTCAGCGTCTTGACTGTAGCGGTACGGGTGCCTTTCGATGTGTCTGTGGTTATTGTGATGCGTGCGCCCCTTGGGAGAGGGTACGGCAGGTTCGCGTCGTGTCGACCAGCGGCGACCCCAGCGCGGGCGTTTCAGGTTGAACGCCGCCTGTGGCCCAGAATGGGCCCATCCTTGAAGGATCCCGCCTTTTTGAAAGGGCCGATCGTTCAAGTTTGAACGATCCTCGCGGTGTCAGGAACCAACGCCGGGGTCGACACGGCGCGAACTTGCGGTAGGCAGCGCGACATCGCAGGGAAGGGCAGCAGCCGGCAGGCTTTGAGAGCGGGAGCAGGTGCGTCGGATGGCGGCGGAGGCGTCAATGGCAGCAGGGGCAGCAGGCAGGACGAGAAGAGGGGACGTTTCGAGAGGAGGGGACGGGAGGAGGTATACGAGGAGGAGGAGGAGGAAGAGGAGGAGGAGGAGGAGAAAGAGAAGGACGAGTAATTAGGCGGAGGCGGAGGCGGAGGCGGAGGCGGAGGAGGAGGCGGCGGCGGAGGAGGTATACGAGGAGGAGGAGGAGGAGGAGGAGGAGGAGGAGGAGGAGGAGGAGGAGGAGGAGGAGGCGGAGGCGGAGGCGGAGGCGGAGGCGGAGGCGGAGGAGTAGGAGGGGATGGGAGGAGAGGGTTGAGGTTTCAGGAGCCAGAATGTCTGATCTGCTCAATATATCCGTGACATCTGGTACAACTCCGACCGGCACCGGATTCGCGCACAGGAGCGACACTCGCGGGTTGCGGGCCCTGCGCCCTGCCCCCTGCTGGTCGGCCTCATTGGCCGGACACGGCTCGCCTCGCCTCGCCTCGCCTCGCCTCGCCTAGACAGAGAACGGCGACCACGAGGATGAGCGGCGGGAGCAGATGGGCACGTGGAGCAAGGGCCGCGATCGTCACCAGCGTCCACAGCAACAGCAGAAGTTGCTACCCGGCTGCCTGCGGCAAGCCCCGCCAGCCAGAACGGCATCGAAACAAGTGGCACATGTGCCATAGCCCTTGCACAAAAAGGAAGGGGGAGGAGGAGGAGGAGGAGGAGGAGGAGGAGGAGGTGGAGGTGGAGGAGGAGGGGGGAAGAGGGGGCAAGGCATCGCCCTCTGGGCCCAGCAACGGGGCCCAAGTCCCAGGTGGGGAGGGTGGGGGAGGCGGCGTGCGTCGCGACGCGGAATAAAGTGCTCGGAGCGGAGGGAGCACGGGGCGGAGGTCCCACTGGGGCGCTGGGGGCGCGGAGAGGAGGGGGGGTGGTGTGTGCCGCGACGCGGAATAAACTGTCGGGGCGGAGGGGGCACTGGGCGGGGCTTGGGGCAGAGGGCCACGGGGCGGGGGTCCAACTGGGGCGCTGGGGAAAGGGGGGAAGGGGGGGAGGTGGCGTGCGTCGCGACGCGGAATAAAACTGTCGGGGCGGAGGGGGCACGGGGCGGAGCCCCCACTGGGGCGCTGGGGACGCGGGGAGGGAGGTAGGGGAGGTGGTGTGCGGCGCGACGCGGGATGAAGCGTTAGTGGCGGAAGGGGCAGTGGGCGGGGCCCCCGCTGGGGCGCTGGGGACGCGGGGGGGCTCGGGGCAGAGAACCACGGCGCGGGGGTCCCACTCTGGCGCTGGGGACGCGGAGGGGGGGGGTGCGACGCGTAATACAGCGTTCGTGTCGGAGGGGGCAGTGGGCGGGGGCCCCGCT